GATCTTCCTGATGTTGTGCATAGCAAACCTGCATGATCGAGCTGTCTTTGTGATGTGGTCTGTGAAGGTCAGCTGATCATCAAAGATTACTCCAAGATTTCTGACCGACCTTGATGGGGTGATTGAGGAAGAATCTAGCTGGATGGCGAAGTCGTGCTGTAGAGACGGATTGGCAGGGAGGATGAGGAGCTCAGTCTTTGCCAGGTTGAGCTGCAGGTGATGTTCCTTCATCCATGCCGAGATGTCCGCCAGACAGCTTGAGATCCGTGCAGCTACTGTAGGATCATCTGGTTGGAATGAGAGGTAGAGCTGGGTGTCATCAGCATAGCAATGGTAAGAGAAACCATGTGCCTGTATGATGGGTCCCAGTGATGTGGTGTAAATGGAGAAGAGGAGCGGTCCAAGAACTGAACCCTGAGGAACCCCTGTGGTCAGTTGATGTGCTTTGGATACCTCACCTCTCCAGACAACCCTGAAGGACCTACCTGTGAGATAGGACTCAAACCAGTGGAGAGGAGTACCTGTGATGCCCAGTGTTTAGAGGGGGGACAGAAGGATCTGATGGTTCACAGTGTCGAAGGCAGCAGACAGATCCAGGAGGATGAGAACTGAGGATTTGGAAGCAGCTTTTGCGATCCGCAGGGCTTCTGTGACCGACAGCAATGCAGTCTCGGTTGAATGCCCTTTCTTGAAGCCAGATTGGTTGACATCCAGCTGGTTGTTCTGAGACAGGAAAGATGATACTTGGTTGAAAGCAACTCGTTCAAGTGTTTTCGCAATGAATGGTAGGAGAGAGACAGGTCTGTAATTCACTAAAAGTGATGTGTTTAACGTTGGTTTTTTAAGCAGTGGAGTTACCCGAGCCTGCTTGAATGCTGTAGGGAAAATGCCAGTGTGGAGGGATGAGTTGATGATGTGTGTGAGAGCTGGAAGGAGTGTGGGAGAGATTGCTTGTAGAAGATGTGAGGGGATGGGGTCTAGAGGGCAGGTGGTAGGATGACTAGAGAGGAGAAGTTTAGATACTTCTGCCTCGGTTAGTGGAGTGAAGGAGGAGAGAAGGTTGTTGGCTGTGGGAGAGGTTAGTCTGGGTTCCTGTGTGTGTGAAGCTGAGAACTGACTGCTGATAGTTGTAGTTTTGTTAGTGAAGAAGTTAGCAAAGTCATCAGGAGTTAGCGAGGAGGTGGGTGGTGGTGGAGGTGGACAGAGGAGAGAGTTGAATGTCTTGAACAGTGAATGTGCAATATAGGCTGGGCCACGCCCCCTTGGCGGGCTCTGACGTTGGGCTAGCTCATTGGTCGCGCGTCAGAGTCGCCCGCGCCATTGGATGTGCAGTTGCTGCAGCACAGCCTATGAGCGGGTCAGACGCTCAGTGTGCTAGCTGTGCAGCTGCAAATGCGTTTTACATATAGGCTTCAGTAAATCGAGGAAAAGGAGTTTCCCCACTGCGTATAGCTACGCAATACGAAGTGACCGTTCGAAAGGGAACACTTTTCAATGATGCCATGCCAGACTCTGTCTATGAAGCAAAGCGAAGTAGCAGAGTTTGGTATTACCAGGCTAGTTATCTATAAGACAAAGCTAAAAACAGGTTGCATGATACACGTTTTTCCATTGCCATCATTTATACTGTGATGAAGATGAATTTCGTGTAACATTCATAACATATGGTGTTCTGCATGTAAGAGTTTCCATGATGAAAGCATTGTTGACTCTGATGAGGACTACACTCCAGAGACAAGTACCGCATCGTCAGCTCGAGGACAGATCCGGGGTCGAGGGCGAAGCAGAGGAGGTCGTCACACGGCGTCACTTTTCAGCCCCTTGAGGTCTCTCAGTTCTCGCCATCGCTGGAAAGCCACGCCGATATTGACACACGTTTTATTTCGTTGTTTATCCAAAGACTTTTTGTTCATTACCTTTTCTAGTAACGTTACTGTCTTCCTTTTTTTGCCTGGTTTGCCTTCGCGAACTGCATATGTGAATTTTGATTGGTCTTTCTCCCTCAAATCAAACGGGTACGTGCAAGTGGGCAGGTCCTGTGTGACAAAAGGGTGGTTGCCATGGTTGCGAGAGAGTGACAGTCGCCTAAGCCAATCCTTTGTTTCGTCCCGGATGGAAATAATGAGCTGTGTTTAGTGAAGATTAAACGGTCTAGAGTCACTCGGTTTTTATACTCTTTTTATCAGAGTACTTACATTTTAATTATGCATTGATATATACAGAAAGTTTAAAAAAATTTGGAAAAACGTTTTTTTTTTATACAATTCCTACCTACAATACCTTTAAAGCATTCATCAACGTTAAAGTGACACCTTTAGTGAGTATCACTGAATCTGGAGACTAACGTTATATGAGAATATAATCGTTATCTGTAATACTATGTCGAAAATACAATATGCTAAAAAAAGCTATTAAAATACTATTTCTAATTTAAAGTGTGTGTCACAGTGTTGATTTATTTAAAAATAACTTGATATTAATAAAGCTAAATGGTCACTTGGTTTTTGAGTTAATATAGGCCTACATAATCTTTCCAGATGGCATCTCCTATTAACGTTTGATTTGATCCAAAGTAAGATTTTGAATAAGTGGTTTTTGGGCAAAATGCCCACTTGAGTAGGCCTATGAGTTTTATACGGAACACTAACAGTAAACTTCACCGGCCGGAGAGAGATTCAGAAGCAGCGTCAGACGTGACCAGTAGTCAAATAAAGTACCCTAACATAATAATATATGGTCATTATCATACTGTGCAATTTCACAAAGAAATATAATATCATTTTAGTAAATGTTCTTCTGTTGGCCTGATATTCGATTCAGGGTATTGAAGAGCACATACGGCTTTATAAACCCCGCTGCCGAGGTCCACGCGGTGACGTCAGGCGGACTGTGACGTCACACACTGATGACGAGCAGAAGGAACAGCTGCTGCTGCCGGTCACGCGCACAAGTAAACCCATTCAATAAAGTTGATTAGAATAGAGACATTTGCAAAACAACACTGCGCAATGAAAACGTGCTTATCGTGTGTTCATTTATTGCATATTGCGTATTTTTATGAACACGATTGTCTCATGAATAGTGGGCAGTTAAAATACAATAATAAACAAATAGGCTAAAAGACAAAGAGTGACCAATCAATCATCTATGTTTAAACCGCATGTATTCGAATGAGAACGAGCTGAATTTGCTGCTCTTTTTCATCCCGTACTTTTGTTATTTATTTTATGTTAATCCCATGTGTAGTTATTGTATTCAAATATTTGTTGTTTGCTGAGCATGGTGACTTTTTGGAATCTCGTTGTTTACAATGACAATAAAGCTCTATTCTTATATCTGATTTATATCATAGCTTATTATATATTTTTTTTAATAATCTATATTATATCTTATCTCTAAGAACTGATAATGTAAATGTGTACCTTGAAATACAACGTAAGTCGCTTTGGATAAAACCGACTACCAAATGCATAAATGTCTTATAATTCATATTAAAAACACCACATAGACATGATATAAACAACATTTAAAGCTTGATTTTCACCACAGGGGGACTTTAAATAACAAATACTTGCATATGAAATGCAATAGGAGTAAGTAATACATATTTTGGAGCATTTATCAATGGATATATTAATCAATAACGCTGCCTACAAAAATATAAATGATTTGGTGAGAGCACAATGATATGTGTGTAAAAGCAGATGCACGTCTGTGAGGAGTGTGTTCTTCTGCGCGTACACACACGACTGGACCAAACAGCTGTGTATTCAAGCCCGTCTGAAACTGCTGACTAGGCAAAGTGCCCATGTTAAATATGTAAATATTTATGATACATGATATTACTCTGGCCCTGCAGTAACCCAGTGGACGCAAAAGAGTAAACAGAGGCGTCAGCAAAAGAACATTTAATCCTCGGTTCATATATTATCAGATTCCCATGTACAATTGTGACACATCCTCAATACAGATTGTTTTCTTCAAGGTGCATATAATCAGATTCCAATTGTTGTCCATCTGCAAATATAAGTTAGCACTGTACATTACTAGCCAATTATTGGCATGAACTGATCTCAGGGAAACCTCTTGTAAACATAGTTTCAAGTTATATCTTTACAGTCAACATGTCCTGGCAGCAGAATGAAAAGAAAGAAAAATACCTCTATACAGTTTTCAGAATAAACCCTTTGTGTTTTGTACATGGTTAGAATAAGGCTTCTCAAAGTCGATGATATGCAGTTTTCTTCAGATGTTAACATGGACCCACGGACTGAAGAATGTTCTGGAAGGAAAAGCCATCTTGCTCTCAGCGTTTGTGCAATTAAGCGTAATCTCCGTCTGAAAATATCTCTTCTTTGCTTTTAGCCTATAATATCTGCCTTAAGCCCTTTGACATCAAGGTTTTAAGGTGCGAACTTCTACAATATTGTAGTAGTATTATTATTAATATTGCTTCTCCCATAAATCTCTGCATCATTACTGAGAAGTGCTCTGTGTTTGAAACAATCAAAGGTCAAAGATTTGATGACTCGCGCTCACATCGGTGTGAAATCACATCATTTCTCATATTAGGGTAAGTTGTGATATATATAAATTGTTGTTACCAGTGTGACTGATTATAACATTTAATGTTATCATCAATCTTTAATCCTCTAACAATAATCATGACTTTATTTCCTGGTCTGGGTTCATTATAAATAAACAACATCTACTTATGATTCTCGTTTCAAAAGGACATAAATGCCAACAGAAGCCAGTTTAGCAGCAACTAAACAATTATGTACTTACGGTATGTAATTAAAACTTTACATTTATGGCTCATTAATATGTGATCCAGGCACATTTCCCTGACATGGCCATGGTGATAAGACTGACTAGAAAGAGTTAAAAACACAAATCCTGACCGAGCGATACAGCCGTGAGTGTGAGAACGGCAGCTTCTAGATCAATTAAAAACGAGGGCCGATCTCCCCTAAAACATCCACGTTGAGACGCTCGGCCGGCCTCAAACGTGTGATAACTGACAGGATCGACGACATGCAGCTTGTGGAAGGCCAACAGGTAGATATTTGAAGTTAAAAGGATTAAAGAAGTCAGGAGATCTGCATAGATGACTCTGAGCAGCAGAGAAACCTTCCCATGTACTAACGCTTCATCTTCAACACAGTGACGGTCAAACTAATTGTGTCCTGGGACATTTAAAAAGCTTTGAGTTTGATTTGACGGCTGCAGAAGTCCTGGGGTCTTTTTTAGCTCGTTTCTTCTCCAGATCCTGTGTCCTCGATGTGACCTGCACCTCACAGAGGTCATTAATGATCCCCGTTACTGACGACCACCTCAGGGCCAGCTGTGGTAGTTGGGATACGGGGCATCTTCTTGAGCGGGCTGGGGATATGCTGAGAAGGACAGAAAAATACAATCAGCCAAACACAAAACACTTAGAAGTGATTTACTACAGAACTAGACTGGAGTGTGTTTCGGAACTGGTTGTGTTCTCCACTAGCTGGGTTTGTTTAGACGTATATGAACACGGCAATCGCTCTCAGGCCCCGTGTGCACCTGGTATTAACCCTCTGGTGCGCTTCGAAAATTGTACATGTTTTTGTTTTGTTTTTCTTCATCGGAATGGTACGAAACTTTATCGACGAATTTCATCTAGTGGAAACTTTTGGTACTGCGGCCAAACAAAATCATACATTTTTTGAGATAGCAGGGTCAAATTTTCAACACAACTTGTTTAGTTTTATGGCTTTGATTTTCTCACAGTTTTAGAAAAAAACATGTTTTTGAAAGTATATATTTCATATATAAATGTTCAAAATAGTATTTTTGCAAATTTTACATAACAATAAACGTAAAATTCTGTAACTTTCTTTAAATTCACTTTTTAAAAATGTTTTCACTTCAGCAATAATCTGCCAAGTGTCGTCTTTGAAAAGAGATCAAACTTCAGTGTGTGCTCTAAAGCATTCAACATTTACGACAGTTTAAGTTGGAAATTAAATTCAGGTCTATGCTCAAAAATGGATTATAAATACAGTGTAAATATAATTATTTTTTATAATTAAGTAAATAAAAAACATTATGGAACTAAAACATAGTCAATTATTTTAACCCTCTAGGCGCCACGGTCGAGTTTACTCGGCAAGATGCGGCACTGAATAAAACGGCCGATTTTGTCAAATTGGGTGTCAAATTTCGTTCGACCTCCCCTCCACTGGATGGCAGACATGTCATACTTCATCCCAGACTCAAAAAAACATCATGCTTCTATACAAAATGTTCGAGTTAGAGCGCATTGAATCAGTGCGATCAAAAGCGGAGCTAGTGTGCGAGTGAGCCATGTTATCAGATCCTCTCCGCAATCGCGGCGACAGTATTGTGGTGGAGACTTTATCTAATACCACTGGGTATGTTAGACGAGGTCGAAGTATTCATAGGACAGTTAGGAGGCGACGTGGAGGCAGGGTGAGGAGTCGCAATGAGTAGTCCGAGCTGTGCACACTCGGCGCGGGCGCGAGGCAGATCTGGCCGCGCTGCTCGTATCATGTCACTCATGATCTGTGCGAGTGAGCGTTTGAACTAAACGGGTCTTGTCTACTTGTGTTTGTATGTCATATGAATAATATATATGTGCCCCATACATGGAATCAGAGTGCCTACTGTATTTAGTAAATGGAAAATCTCTACAGCAAAAGGCCAACCACTACATGCATTCGGTTTGTTTCTACCATTTATTAGTAATGATTTACACAGTTTGTTTACTACTTACTATATACCTGAGCATTCAGTATTGTGCAATATAGCATACAGAAGGTGAGGGACATTTTGGGGGGAAAGAAGTGCTGCATTTTATCATTTAAACATGTGACTTTTAATGAAAATTCTATAATCCAAGATTGCCGCCACCATATGACGTCATAATATGCAAATTAGATGGGAAAATGTAATAAAATCGAACGTTTTAGGAAAAAACCTCTGGCGCCTAAAGGGTTAATTGAAGAAAAAAAAAAACAACAAAGTTATGTCATTTTTGACCGACACGCGACGAGCACCAGAGGGTCAGGATGTGTTGTGGGCGATAATCTGGCTGTGTTTACAGTAATACTGATTAAATTGACATCCCGTGCTCTACACACACCCTAACGCACACGTCATGGGCTTTACTTCTAGCTGAATGAACATGTTTAACTGGTCCAGGGTGAGTGTGTACCTCGGCTGCAGTGAGCAGTCCTGCCTCCAGCGGCCTGTGGTCGTTCATCGAGCGCCTGGCGTACTGTCTGCGATGCTTCTCGTCCACACGGGTCAGGTACCATGTTCCCGGGGAGAGGTCCTCCACAGAGCCTTGAGGGATGTAGTTAGCTGTGGGAATATGACAAACATCACACCGTCAAACGGATCCGAAAGATTTTCATAAAGACAAAAATGAATGCGAGAAGAACAGAACGCAAACGCTTGATTACCTAAATGGTGGGTTTCTTCTCGGAGCTTCATGTTCTCAGCAAAAACCCCCGGTGAAACCTTCGTTCTGGAGTCCAGTCGGGCCTGCAAGTCACACAGGCTGGAGACCATCTTATCCAGAGCAGAGCCTTGAAATGAAGATGTACGTTAGCACAACTGACTGACTGTCATCAACCTACAGCTAACAGTGGCTGGGCGATACGACCAGCCTCTTATAGAAACTTCAGGCAGCTTTGTTCAGTATAAGTGCGTTGTGCGGCGCTTGTGTCCACGGTGTAATTCTGTGTCCACACGGAACATTATAAAAAAATTATTCCAAATCCAAATGTCATGTTGTGGGAAGTAGTTGATATCCACTGTAGACAGCATCAGCGATTGTAATGGGATTCATCAGATTCTGACGTGACGCACAGCTTGCATCCGGTACAGACACTTTAGTTAAGAATGCACAGAATTAGAGTAATCGCATAAAACATTTGCGAAAAAAGTAGCGTTTCCATCCCATGTGTTCAAGAGAACAAAATTGTCACTTCCTGGGAAATTGGCACAAAATCTCAGTAATAAGAATGAAAGTTTCTGCAGTCGGGTAAGATCCGGTGGCTCTTTCCCCTCCAGCACTGATGACCTTTGATGCATGCGAGATGGTTCTGGGAGGACGTTATGCAGAACCATTGAGATGACCAACATGTGGAGATGCTGAGAGATGAAACTGGTCTGCTGGCTGTCCAGTTAGCCAATCACATTATGCGTCTTCTTATCGGATACAAAAAAACTTATCCTCCTCATTTGAGCGCATTCAATTTCTTTTTAGAAGTTATGTTAATCCTGGCGTTTCCATACAGCTTTTTGTTTTAACATACAAATAGGTGGATGGAAACATAGCTACTGTAACTGTAGGTTTTTACAGTTGCCAAGCTATGTTGCAAATAAAATACAGCACATTAATACAGAATCCAGCTGATCCCGTGTGGGCAAAGCCCGCTGCAATTTATTTTTTGCAGTGATGCCAGATTTACTTAAGCAATCTTTTTGTTACTATTTGGTTAGTTCCAAATAAAGATGGAGTACTTTTCATTCACTATCAAAAAATAGGCATGACTACATTGTTATGTATTATACTACAATATATCTTAAACATTTTTGGGTTGAAATTCCACATAAAAGTGACACAAAATGTGTTGTCCCATGACTGTGAGCTCGGTCGTACCGCCCACCCTAGTTTAGGGGAATGACACTCTAATAGAAACCGCTTCTGTGTGTGTGTGTGTGTGTACCAGGTGTGGCGTCTTGTGTGACTCTGATGGAGTAGAGTGTGGCAGCAAAGCCTGAGCCGTAAGAAAACACACCGATCCTCTGCCCTGCCAACTGCTGCGATGTGTGTCTGTGGAGATTTACAAAATAATAAGAATCCCGTTTGCAGTGGCTTTGAATATAACCATGAATGCGGTGTGAAAATAAGAGGCGGCACCCGTGACACTTACTGTGCGAGAACCGAAGCCAAGCAGCCGTACACTGACGGCGTGTACATGTTGCCGTTCTGGTTGGATATGAGGAGAGACGCTTTGGTTTTATTCTCGAACAGTTCTGAACTGGCTTTCATAAAGGCCTTCTCCACATCTCTGTCGAAATAAGTGTCCTCAATCTTCACATCTCTGCAAAAAAAAGTAAAGAAATTTAAAAAACGTTTGGTTTATTTAAGACGCGGTCACCATGATCTGCTGTTGCCAAAAGCCAGAATTTGATAGAATTTTCCATTTTGGTGAACTTTTTTCTTTAAATAAAAATATATTGTGATGAATTAATTAACGTTAAATGTGACGATTGGTGCGACTCTTTTTAACGCTCAGTCGTCAGCTGAAGGAGCCTATTAACCTGAAAGCTTCCAGTCCGCTGAAGGGGCCGCTCTCCGTGTTTGGACTGGGGTGACACATGAAATCGTTGAGCATTAGGCGAGCCAAAGACTTCTGGACCAGTTTGCAGTAAGGAGAGTGGAAGACCATGAAGCCAAAGTCCTCCAGACTACAGCGCCGCTCAACACCCTCTGAAACACACCAGAAGAGCAATCAGTCAAAATCCCTGAATGTTCTCAAATAGTGTTTTTCTCTGTTGGGATGTGCATTTATAGACCGACTGAAACTTCAGCCTGTTCCTCGCAGAGATATCATATAGTTTCAGAAGATCTGGAACAACGGGCACGAGTCGTATTTATTGGAGAGTTTAGCCAGTGAAAATTGAAAGAGGACATTTTGTCCGATAATGTGAACACACATCTTTACACTAGTAATCAGGTACATGCCAATCATCAAGGTTCATAACACAGCATGTAATGCATGAGACGAGGAAATATGAGAAAATATAGGAACTCCTTAATACTATTCCAATTTTAGGTGCCTTTAACTAATATGTACTTCCATCATAAATAATCGTTTGGTAAATGTACTTGTTGTGTTGATGTTGTGTTGTGAAACTCGTGTGCTGCTAGTGAGGAGGACACGGGTGAGGTCAGGGCGGGTTCAGTGGTTTAAAGGGGAAATGAAGCGGTCAGTCGAGTTCCCGTGACTTCACACGCTGGGGTATTGCAATATAACGCGCCCTTGCTCATCCCTTTTTCTTTAAAACGGTTACATTTGTAAGACTGGAAAAACTGGTTGAGGAACGACCACTCTGGAAATTACCATTTGAGACAAAAGTCTCACATAACTTACATTTCTTTCCCTCCTCCCCCAAGATCACCCAAACTCACACAAGAATCTAAATGGTTGAATGTGAATGATTATCATCGAATACATATGCATTTAACCCACACTACTTTGCCATGAGAAAAGACGGAACAGGCGAGAAACCTTCCCCGTATAATTGGATACCCTCATTGGACCAATAAAGACGGGCTGTTTGTTATATCTTTTTTTTAATTAAAGTGGAAATCAGTTTACTAAATAATGTAAGCTCGACTGATTTTAAGGGTGGGTTAAGGGGTGAACAGTGTGACAGAAATTAATAACAGCTGTAATTACATGCAGGCACTTTTTAAATACATGAACAATGTAAAAACATGCATGTACACAATAAGTGCAATGTATCAAGTGACACATGTAATTGTAAGTACATAGTAGGTAAAGACACTTAATATAAAGAGGAATTTTCTATGATAATTTTTGGTATCTGGCAGTCACGATTTACTTTCACAATATGGCAGAATAATACAAATAAACACATTAAATTAAATAAATAAGAAAGAAACTCAATGATTGATTTACATTGTTTAGGAATATGTGGATATATTAGCCGACCTCTTTGCCACTGGGCGTGGATCTTGTTCCTGAAGACGGAGTAGCATCGGTCTAAAGCGCTGAGGTAACACTGGATGGAGAGCTTGCCGTCCACCACTGGATACTCGGACACCATATCTGGCTTATAGAAATCATACGCATGCTGCATATGTGTCCCACGAAGCCCTGTGGAAATACGTGATTACATTTCAATGACTTCATGAAATAAAGAATACAGAGCATTACAGGAATAACTGCCGATCTCTGCATGAATATAGTGTGGACTTTAACCTCGGTCTCACACCAGAGCCTGTTTAGTTAGAGCTCTGTGTGTGTGTGTGTGTGTGTGTGTGTGTGTGTGTGTGTGTGTGTGTGTGAGGTGTGTCATGACAGCTGATGTCAGGCAGGCCTCATACCTCTCTCAAAGGCCAGAGGGGCGTTGGGTCCCACTAGCATGGCCACGGCTCCGGCGCCCCCTGTAGGCCTGGCGCTGCCCGTGGCGTACACTGCAATATCACCAGCCACGACCACAGCATAGCGACCTGCACCATCAAGACCAGTCAGTCAGTCAATGCTCAACAGGCAAACAACAACACTCAGAGTACAGCTCTTTATAATGGATGTGGACACATGCCCAAACTAACCCAAATTAAATACGTTCTGCATAGAAGGTCATAATGCATGTTTTAGGACTGTTGTGATTTTTTGCATTGCGACATTATTCTCTAATAACTATGGGTATTTCCCACCCTACATTCTTAGTTTTTTAAAACTTTTGAATATGTAATTCCCATTATTCTTAATGGTGATTCTCACTTCTGTAATAACAAGTTGTATCATTTAAATTGAAGGCAGTATTTCAAATACTACCATTATATATACATATATAATGTTATTATTTAAATTACACCCAGTTGTGTGTGTGTGTGTGTGTGTGTGTGTGTGTGTGTGTGTGTGAGAGAGAGAGAGCAGCGCACCGTCCCAGGAGCTGGACTCCACCCAGTTGTGTGTGTGTGTGTGTGTGTGAGAGAGAGAGAGAGCAGCGCACCGTCCCAGGAGCTGGACTCCACCCAGTTGTGTGAGTGTGTGTGTGTGTGTGTGTGAGAGAGAGAGAGAGCAGCGCACCGTCCCAGGAGCTGGACTCCACCCAGTTGTGTGAGTGTGTGTGTGTGTGTGTGTGTGTGTGTGAGAGAGAGAGAGCAGCGCACCGTCCCAGGAGCTGGACTCGACCCAGTTGTGTGTGTGTGTGTGTGTGTGTGTGTGTGTGTGTGTGTGTGAGAGAGAGAGAGCAGCGCACCGTCCCAGGAGCTGGACTCGACCCAGTTGTGTGTGTGTGTGTGTGAGAGAGAGAGAGAGCAGCGCACCGTCCCAGGAGCTGGACTCCACCCAGTTGTGTGTGTGTGTGTGTGTGTGTGTGTGTGTGTGTGTGTGTGTGAGAGAGAGAGAGAGCAGTGCACCGTCCCAGGAGCTGGACTCGACCCAGTTGTGTGTGTGTGTGAGTGTGTGTGTGTGTGTGTGTGTGTGTGAGTGTGAGAGAGAGAGCAGCGCACCGTCCCAGGAGCTGGACTCCACCCAGTTGTGTGTGTGTGTGTGTGTGTGTGTAAGAGAGAGAGAGAGCAGCGCACCGTCCCAGGAGCTGGACTCGACCCAGTTGTGTGTGTGTGTGTGTGTGTGTGAGAGAGAGAGAGAGCAGTGCACCGTCCCAGGAGCTGGACTCGACCCAGTTGTGTGTGTGTGTGAGTGTGTGTGTGTGTGAGAGAGAGAGAGAGAGCAGCGCACCGTCCCAGGAGCTGGACTCGACCCAGTTGTGTGTGTGTGTGAGTGTGTGTGTGTGTGAGAGAGAGAGAGAGAGAGCAGCGCACCGTCCCAGGAGCTGGACTCGACCCAGTTGTGTGTGTGTGTGTGTGTGTGTGTGTGTGTGTGAGAGAGAGAGAGAGCAGCGCACCGTCCCAGGAGCTGGACTCGACCCAGTTGTGTGTGTGTGTGTGTGTGTGTGTGTGTGTGAGAGAGAGAGAGAGCAGCGCACCGTCCCAGGAGCTGGACTCGACCCAGTTGTGTGTGTGTGTGTGTGTGTGTGTGTGTGTGTGTGTGTGTGTGTGTGTGTGTGTGTGAGAGAGAGAGAGAGCAGCGCACCGTCCCAGGAGCTGGACTCGACCCAGTTGTGTGTGTGTGTGAGTGTGTGTGTGTGTGAGAGAGAGAGAGAGCAGCGCACCGTCCCAGGAGCTGGACTCGACCCAGTTGATGGCGTTGAAGAGCGCGGCGGTTCCCCCGTAGCAGGCGTTGGTGGTGTCCACTCCCTCCACGTCGGTGTTGCCCGACTCCTCGAACAGCTGCATCAGGACCGTCTTGGTGGACTTGGACTTGTCGATGATGGTTTCGGTGCCGACCTCGAGCCGGCCCACGCTGTCGTAGGACAGGCCGCTCCTCTCCATCAGCCGCTGCACCACCGTCAGGCACAGGGAGTTGATGTCCTCCCGGTCCGAGCAGAAGCCCATGCGGGCCTGTCCCAGCCCGACGGTGTACTTCCCCGCCCCGACGCCGTCGTACTCCTCCAGCTCGGCCTGGTCCACGAACTGGGACGGCACGTACACCTCCATGGCCATGATGCCCACATCTTTGGGCCACGCGGCCTCGCACACTGCAGGGAGGGATCCAGGCATTCTGAATGGACTGAGACAGAAGAGTATAATTCAGCACACGGACTCACATAAAGCAGGCAAGCCACTGGGTGTGTGTGTGTGTGTGTGTGTGTGACCCGTGCGGGTTATTCAACACACAGACAACACTGATGTCTACAGAACAGGGTCGCAGATCACAGATATGATGCAGAGGGACATATTTCATAATGTTTGGTAAGATGTCTCTTATGCTCAGAAAGGCTGCATTTATTTGATCAGAAATATTATTACAATTTAAAATATCAATTTTCTATGTGAATATATAGTAAAGTGTAATGTATTCCTGTGATCAAAGCTGAGTTTTCAGCATCATTACTCCAGTCTTCAGTGTCACATGATCCTTCAGAAATCACTCTGATATGATGATTTGATGCTCAAGAAACATTTCTGGTTATCAACAATGTTGAAAACAGTTGTGCTGCTTCATAATTTTGAGGAAAACTTGATAGCATTAATTTGAAACATCATTTTGTAGCAAATGTAAATGCATTTACTGTCACTTTTGATAAATTGTAATGTGTCCTTGCAGAATAAAAGTATAATTTTTTTCTAATATGTTTATCGAGCATCAAACCATCATATTAGAGTGATTTCTGAAGGATCATGTGACGCTGAAGACTGGAGTAATGATGCTGAAAACTCAGCTTTGATCACAGGAATACATTACACTTTACTATATATTCACATTAAAAACAATTTCATTATTTTAAATTTTAATAATATTTCCCAATATTACTGTTTTTATTGTATTAAATGCAGTCTTGCTGAGCAGAAGAGACTTCTTTCAAAACCATTTGAAAAAATATTAATTTTTCCAAACTTTTGACCGGGAGGATATTCATAAATACCAGAGACGGCCAAGTGGAAAATGAAAACAAAAATATGTGTGCACTGTGCAGCGTCCTGAGGAAAGAGCTACTGGTAGTGAGAGGCACATGGCAGAGCCTGTGAGCCTGGAGCTCTGCCCTCCTCTAATGAGATTAACCCTTCACTGGCTGAAGGACATTACCTTTAACCCACATAGATATGGCTCTGCGGAGCAACTTGTCCTGTTCCATGTCAAGTAAACACACTTGACCAGTCAATGTAAGAAAAAAACCCCTAGTAAACACTATTGGTATTGATTTATTTAGGCGCAGGGCATGTGAATAAAAGAGTTCATCTGAAATAAACAGAAGTAAATGGATTTGGTATCACGTGATCTTGTCTTGTAGGGTTAAAACCATAGATATATATCCATATATATGGTAAAAACAGCAAACTTATGTTTCTTTCAACTAGTTGACTTTAGTCAATATGAATTACACCATTACAGATTGTTGTTCTGGTTTGATTTGGATGATATAATCATTCCTCTGTAAAAAATCTTAATCATTTGACTGATTTTATAAGTAAATAACGCGCTATAAACCAAGCGTTCTGGTTTGTCGTGGTGTGGAAACGCGTTCACTCCTCACTGACGCTTCTCTTGGCAATAATTCATTTTAATAAGCAACTAATAAACGCAAATCTACGTTTACATTAAACATATACATTCCACAAACAGTAGTAATAATTCTGGAAATGGTCTAGGCAATGACCCCACCTAACGTTAACGTTACATGTGTCACTGGCGGACCGCGAACACCCAGTCATCACCGCGACACATACACCACTTCATTCACACACAGTTCTTCTTACCTTACAATCATATATCAGTTCTCTAGCGAGTCTGCGGGGTGGCGAGCTCAGAGCCGTCCGGGGGAGATCTCATAAGGTCAGATGTGTGATGAGTGTGTGTACTCGAGCAGTGTTTGTCGACGGACCGTCTTCCGCTGACGGAGGAGCGCGCCTCGACACACGCGCGTCCACTGCGCACTACACAGTGCGCACAACCAGTGTGTACTACGCAAGAACTTATTACTTTTTTGAATCCTAATATTCGGGACGCGTGAATACGAACCTGTGATTAATGCCTGAAACGTTTTTAAACCAATATTATTCTTTTTTTTCTATTTTTTTTTTTTTTTAGTAAACACCAAATAAACTTTACATGTATACATAACATATAAATTTGCGCGAGGCATTGTTTCAAATATATTCAATTTACGTCGTTTTTGCTATTTCAGGGTGTTTGAGACACTTTCCCCTAGTCATTTCAATGGCAATAGTGTCCCCTGAATTCGCCCATATTTAACATTAGTAGTCACCAGTACTCTGATAGTAAACGAGATCGGAGGATCAATAGATTTTAGCTTCACAAGGAAAAAAATATCTGTCAAGTTATACAAAAGCGCTCATATTACATTTAATTCAGAAAGTTGGTCATTGGGATTTTATTAGTGTTGCGCCGATATTTTATTTAACTTTCTTTCTTTTTTTTAATTATGTATTTTAGAATAATTATTAATCTTTAATAAAAGTAAAAAAAAAAAAATGAATAAAAGAGCTTTTCCAGTGCATGCTGAACTAAGTCATTCATTCATCAGTCATTTTGAAGTTAATGTAGTGTAGCCAGAAACTTTATCAAATAGGCTATAACATTAATTTAGATAAACTTTACGTCAGAATTAAGCACATTATTGTTGTTGAAAACAGTTTTAGACTAGACTTACCTTTATAACCGAGTTCAGTTCCTAAGAGAGCTTGTCATTGAGTGAAGCGGCCGTTGAAGACGGTATTAAAGACATACTATTTATACACGGCGAGCGGACGATACCTGTGCAGCGCGCGCGTCTGCTTCTGGAGCGCTTCCCACACAGCCAATCAAAACACAGAACGCGTTCTGGAGGTCCTCATCTTCCCGCCCCTTCACGCTCTCAGCCAATGAGCGCTTCAGAAAGGAGGGTCGCTAGACGAGGTGCGCATAGTGGTTCAATGGTGTGAGTTGATGACGTTGTATGGTGAGAGAGCAGCAGCCAATCAGAGCGCACGAATGATTCTGCTCGCCATTTCTGCGCGAATCGGCAGGGAAGCATAATATCGTTTCCATGACTACAAGAGGTTGAACGATGAAACATCATATCGGAGGATCATCACATCTCATGTCAAGTGTTCACTGAAATTACAATACAAGGTAATCCTCAGAGGGCACATATTCAGACAAGTATTATGTTATTAAAATACTTGAAACTATAACAATGTCTATAATAACTTCCTCCTCCTTACCAGTTAGATAATTAGGATGACGTGTAAATTATAGAAATGGGAGAGACTGATTGACCAACAGAAACTAAATCAATAACGATAAATAAACCCTCAAGACATTTTAAGTGGTCTAGTTATATACTAGTTAAAATAGTGCAAAGTAACATGTAAAAGTTAAATAAATAAATCTTTATAGACTTACATTACAAAAATCGTAGTTTGTTACGTAATCTATAAGATATTAAGAAAAATAGGTAATATGACTTTTAAACGATTAATACATTTTAAATGATTTTGACCTGTTGATCACATTAATTTGAAAATAATCTTGAACTAAAAACACTGAAAAGATTTTTATATATATATAAAACAAGAAATAAAATATAGTTTATTAGCAAACAACATGATTTGAATTAAACATTACATTAAATATAAATATATTAGTAAAAGAGGTTTGGATGACAAAAACGTTTTGGGAATGCATTACATTTAAAGATGAAATTACATGAATTTGTGCATTTAAAAAAAATAATAAGGAAGAATAAATAAATGATGAATAATTTACTTCCATTGTGTGAATGTAATCATTTAATCAATAAGTTTAAAAAAAGTATTGTAAAATGTAATATAATCGATTTACAAGTAATTTTTGGAATCAGATTACACATAATCAGCTTTTGTATGTGTATATATATCATTTAGAAAGACGACTGTTGTTCTCCTTTAGTTTCTCCATGAGTTAAAGAAACAAAATAATGTTTTTTATTGTAAAAAAACAAAACACACAAAAAAAACCCTCCCAGGTGAATCACATTACAAACTTGTTTTAAGGCAAAGGTGTATAGGATCTGGTTTCCATCACCACAGTACAACAGGCCATAGCTAAACTAAAGGAAGTTATTTTTAGCACGTTAAGACGACCATATTTCTTACAAACGTAGTAATTGAAACCATAGTTAGATTGATTGATCCGCGTGTAATCAGCACATCCAGTGCTGCTGTGTTTACTGAGAATAAAAGGACCAAAAAGAGCCAAAAAACACAAGAACAAACTGATTTTCCTATACGTTTTATTTGCTATAAAGCCCAAAATAGGTAGATTTCATTATAAAATGCTTCAAATGGGGTAAAAACCTAATAATTAAAACATTTTTGACAAAAGCTACACAGGATTAAAAGATACAGCTTTAGCCAATTTTCATTTTCTTTCGCTGAACCCAGAGATTTATTTGCACAATAAAAGGTGCTAATATAAGTTAGCCCTTAAGCCCTGGAGATCTTTGAGGAAAAAACAAACAAAGAATCAGAGATATAAAATTATAATAAAAGAATATATATATATTTTATATATATATATATATATATATATATATAATTATTTATATATATTGAGAAAGTGAACTTTGGTAGAAGAAAACTCTAGAGGATACCTGAGGTAGAAAAGACTGGAATAAAACAGCAATAGACAATCTTCACATAAAAAGTACCACCAAGTGACGAGGAACAGCATCATTTCACACAGGTCCGTTCAGCCCAGAACCAAAAGCCCGTGAAACAACAGAACAACAGAGCGCAGTGAGATGAGGACAACTGAAGAAATGACAGAAGATGTGGAAAACTCAAGTAATACTGATTAGATTTTATCAAGCCGACTGAAACAGACACCTTTCCAGTATATAAAAAGACAGAGTGCATAACTTTAAAGCTTTCATAAAGGCATAGGAAAAAAAAAATAGAAAAGAAACAAAAAAACACACATATCAGGAACAAAATAAGTATTTATGATGAGAAGTGTGGCTTTAAAAATGCAGGAGTCAAGTAAAATACATTTAGCTACCAAAATTCATATTTACATCTTAACTCTTCAAGCTTGATCAGCCTGTTTTCCACATAAGGCAGTAGAACTTGCATTAAATAACATTACTTTTAAAAATTATTTTTGAAATTGTCACGTTTACAACTCGAGATGCGTGTGAACGGAGTCCAAATAAGGTCATTGATATTCCTTTAAAATGGTTTTTAAAAATGGAAGAAAACCTAAAAAGCAACAACGCTTGAAGAGCTACAGTTCAGACACCTGACATGTTTGCAGAACATGCATAAAGTTAATGGTTTTGGGGGGGAAAAAAACAGTGTTTACGAGCACTAAAGTCGTTAGCTAAATATGATCCCTCCACCGAAATGTTCAACGTTTGTAATGAAGTAAATAACACACGAGGAAATATTCAGTTAGTGCTCCTTTAGGAAGCTTAATCGCTTACAAAACGTCTCGGATGTTCGTGAACAGCACCAATAACATGGCTGAGTAAATAACAGCTGGAAAGGAAATGAAAGTTCAACTGAATCATGATGAGTTGACACCCAAAATAAAGAAATAAGACAAATCACGACATATAAACTGAAATCGAGCTGGAGATCCGAAATTATGTTCCAGTGAGACTCTTAAACAAGATTTACAGACGCACATCACAGTCTAAAATTGGGCCATAGCTTTGAAAAAGATCCCAATTACACCAAATCAAGCTAAAACATGTAAAACCAGACATTTATACAACATGATCTCCGTTTAGAAATGAAAAGTGAACCATACCGGCATCATAAGCATTCACATTCAGCGGTGCGCTAGTTCGACTAGCAGAGATTTGTCTTTCACCAAAACACATTCATGGTGTGAAAACACACGAGGCCTGACATGAGGATCCGCCTGAAGTCGAATGTGTGTTAACTGCGAGGGGCTTTACCACACGAGCCACTGAACGACTTCACTAAAGGTGACCTGATTTCCAGCCTTCCAGGAGATCAGAGATCTAAACTTAACAACAGAAATGGCACTTTTATGCAGACATGGTGTTTTGAGGATACAGCATTCAGGGCTCTGTGCAATGAGTGTGTTTTGTTTGTGAAAGACAGAAAGTGTGTAGACTAGCAGTAGGAGCGTGTCAGCAGGAGCAGGCTTCAGTAGTCTACCAGCTGTGCCTGAAGATGGGGTGTTTCAGCAGCTCTCGGGAGGCCGGCCGGTCCGAGGGCTGGAGCTCCAGGCAGCGCAGGGTCACGTCCCGCAGGCCCGGGGTCAGGTGCGGGGGGATGCCTGGAGCTGTGGTGGCGCTGGCAATCTGAGCGAGGAGTCAGTCAGAATAGCAATGTCACTTATATTTACATAGCAGCATTTATCACATTCTAGGTTGACCGATGTGCTACACAATAAAAACACAACAATAAGATAATACAATATAATTAATGAAAAAAAAAAAAACATAACTCCCTCATTGATTACATGCCAAATAAAAAAAAGGGGTTTAAACTTAGATTTAAATACAGACAGTGATGATGCAGATCGAACACACAGAAGGGCAGAGACATCCGAATGCACAACGATCTCTGGTTGGACAACCGGAGAGACAAAACTGGACGATGTTCAGTCAATAAATCCGAGAGGTAAGGAGGAGCCAAAGCGCTTAAAGATTTTAACACTAAAAGAAGATTCACACGATAACGCACAGGCAACCAGTGCAGAGGACGTAAAATATGGCGTAATGTGGTCCCGTTTTTTAGTACCGGTCTTGCAGCTGCATCTGCAAGCGCTTAGCTAATCCCAAAATAAAGTGAGTTACAGTAATCCGATCTAGATGTAATAAAAGCATGAATTATTCTTTCAAAGGTTTCTCTTTACAGAACAGGTTTTACTTTTACTAGTAGTCAAAGTGTGAAAAAAAGCATGATTTGACCACTGTATTTATGTGTTTGTCAAATCTCAGCCCTTCATCAAAGACAAAGAAAAAGAGCTGACGTTCCTTTTGCCAAAAACTTTAACCACTTTTGATATTGGCGCCGCCTCTCTGTTGAAACGACTGTCTGCTGTTAAAATACACAAATGCTAAAATGTTTTAACAAAAGCTCTGGAGCGGTCAAGTCAAAATCAGTCGATTTGCATCTTCCGGTGGAGTTTTGCTGACAAACAATCAGTGATATCTGGGTGCAGCTTAGGCCCTGTTTACTCCCGGTGTTTAGATGTGTGTTTTGGTCGATCGGATCACAAGTGGACGAGGGAGACACATATCCGTGCACACCTGGTGTTTAAATCCGTCTCTTTTGTCCACTTTAGACCTCTTCTGTCCTGATTTCTTCGAGGTGAGGGTCTATAGGCGAGTAAATGTATGGGCTTTTCCAGATCTCTCAATATAATGGACAAAATATAATCTTGTGCAATTTACATATGACGAGAGAGAAACACACAGAGAGCATCAGCTTTAGTTTCTGCTCTGACAGCCGAAGACCAGCCGAACACAGCGAGTGTGTGTTAGAAATCAGGAATGGTGAGAGAACATTGAGCTTGGTACATTTTCGTCTTAGCTAGAGAGTAGACGGTCTATTGTGGCTGTTTGAACACATTCGACCGCATGAGTGTTTACACTACGAAAGCAATCCGGTCGAATGTGTTTTCATCTACCTCTGGAAGTGGACAAAACTGGACAAGCTCAAAGCGTTTTAGACCCCGTTTACACCTGTATTAGCGTCGTCCACTTGTGATCCGATCGACCAAACGCATCTTAATACCAGGAGTGAACATGGCCTCAGAAACAGAACACATTGTTAATTTACATATTCTGTTGGTTAAAACTCTGTGAACTTAACCTATAATGCAAGAAAATGCTTTTTTGCTTCCTGAAGCTACTGAGTACTGATTTAGTACATGTTTTTAACTAGTAATTTCATTATTTGTTCAGCATGAAAATTATTGTGTAAAAACATTTAAGGAAATGTCGAGTACTTAACTCACCTGAAGTCATTTACATTAACTATTTTTTTTGTATTATAAATGGGTTAAATTTTCAGTAAACATGACTACATTATTGTTTTGCTCATAAAGTCCTAATATGTGTCGTGCACACATGCGGTTCAATCCTCACCTTGAAAATGAGTGCCAGGTGGTTGGAGTGTTTCTCGGCGTTCCAGGGCGGCTTGGCACAGGACATCTCTATAATAGCACAGCCCACACTCCAGACGTCACAGCTGCGCCCGTACTGCTGCCCTCGCAGCACCTGCACACACACACACACACACACCGGTTCACAATCACAAACCCTCATCTGACACCGGAGACGACATCTGTAGTAACACCGAGACCATTCAATAAAGCTGCCATCAAATATGAAAAAATCCAAGTTCTCATTAACTGAAATGAAGTGTCTGAATTTTACATTTTTGCTTTGTAGTTTTTTTTTGGTTGTGTAATGCATTCCACGTTTATATGATAAACCTTTTGATTTCACAAATGAAAATACAAATATTATTTTGCATTTTATGACTAACTGAAAACATGAGTAGATTGAATGATGAGAAAACAGCGGGTGTGCGTAGTGGCTCACGGTGTGTGTACTGCCATGTGTTGGGGGAGTTTAGCTCCACTTTGAGATATGCCATTCATTACGAAGCCATTCTGTTCAAACTATTGTTTCTTTATGTCGTTAATTGACAGAGGGTCACTGCTTGGAGCAGTACTAAAGCAGTGATGATGCTGGGATACCCTCTTCACCTTCTTGCTGGACACTTGAGTGTCCATTACCAGCTTATCAGAGACAGACCAATCCTGGCCAGTGGATGGGGAGAGGTGAAGCAACAACCACCACTCAACCCACTTGTCCCATAACCACTCAACCCGCTGGTCCAATAACCACTCAACCCGCTGGTCCAATAACCATTCAACCCGCTGGTCCCATAACCATTCAACCCGCTGGTCCCATAACCACTCAACCCGCTGGTCCAATAACCATTCAACCCGCTGGTCCCATAACCACTCAACCCGCTGGTCCCATAACCACTCAACCCGCTGGTCCCATAACCACTCAACCCGCTGGTCCCATAACCACTCAACCCGCTGGTCCCATAACCACTCAACCCGCTGGTCCCATAACCACTCAACCCGCTGGTCCCATAACCACTCAACCCGCTGGTCCCATAACCATTCAACCCGCTGGTCCCATAACCACTCAACCCGCTGGTCCCATAACCACTCAACCCGCTGGTCCCATAACCATTCAACCCGCTGGTCCCAAAACCACTCAACCCGCTGGTCCCATAACCACTCAACCCGCTGGTCCCAGAACCAATCAACCCGCTGGTCCCATAACCACTCAACCCGCTGGTCCCATAACCACTCAACCCGCTGGTCCCACAACCACTCAACCCGCTGGTCCCACAACCACTCAACCCGCTGGTCCCACAACCACTCAACCCGCTGGTCCCATAACCATTCAACCCGCTGGTCCCATAACCACTCAACCCGCTGGTCCCATAACCACTCAACCCGCTGGTCCCATAACCACTCAACCCGCTGGTCCCATAACCATTCAACCCGCTGGTCCCATAACCATTCAACCCGCTGGTCCAATAACCATTCAACCCGCTGGTCCAATAACCATTCAACCCGCTGGTCCCATAACCATTCAACCCGCTGGTCCCATAACCATTCAACCCGCTGGTCCAATAACCATTCAACCCGCTGGTCCCATAACCATTCAACCCGCTGGTCCCATAACCATTCAACCCGCTGGTCCAATAACCATTCAACCCGCTGGTCCCATAACCACTCAACCCACTGGTCCAATAACCATTCAACCCGCTGGTCCAATAACCATTCAACCCGCTGGTCCAATAACCATTCAACCCGCTGCCGCTGGTCCCATAACCATTCAACCCGCTGCCGCTGGTCCCATAACCATTCAACCCGCTGGTCCCATAACCACTCAACCCGCTGGTCCCATAACCATTCAACCCGCTGGTCCAATAACCATTCAACCCGCTGGTCCAATAACCATTCAACCCGCTGGTCCCATAACCATTCAACCCGCTGGTCCAATAACCATTCAACCCGCTGGTCCAATAACCATTCAACCCGCTGGTCCCATAACCATTCAACCCGCTGGTCCCATAACCATTCAACCCGCTGGTCCCATAACCATTCAACCCGCTGGTCCCATAACCATTCAACCCGCTGGTTCCATAACCATTCAACCCGCTGGTCCAATAACCATTCAACCCGCTGGTCCCATAACCACTCAACCCACTGGTCCAATAACCATTCAACCCGCTGGTCCAATAACCATTCAACCCGCTGGTCCAATAACCATTCAACCCGCTGGTCCCATAACCATTCAACCCGCTGCCGCTGGTCCCATAACCATTCAACCCGCTGGTCCCATAACCACTCAACCCGCTGGTCCCATAACCATTCAACCCGCTGGTCCAATAACCATTCAACCCGCTGGTCCCATAACCACTCAACCCGCTGGTCCCATAACCACTCAACCCGCTGGTCCCATAACCACTCAACCCGCTGGTCCCATAACCACTCAACCCGCTGGTCCCATAACCACTCAACCCGCTGGTCCCATAACCATTCAACCCGCTGGTCCCATAACCACTCAACCCGCTGGTCCCATAACCATTCAACCCGCTGGTCCCATAACCACTCAACCCACTGGTCCCATAACCATTCAACCCGCTGGTCCCATAACCATTCAACCCACTGGTCCAATAACCATTCAACCTGCTGGTCCCATAACCATTCAACCCGCTGGTCCCATAACCACTCAACCCGCTGGTCCCATAACCACTCAACCCGCTGGTCCCATAACCATTCAACCCGCTCAGAGGTTGTCGGCATGTAAAGGACCACAAATTGACGGACTGTGTGGCACAGTCTCAGTACTCTGGCTATATACAATAGCCACAATATATATTGTATTCTAAAATGTTGTTCCTGTTGCACTAATTGACACTACTGTTGACCAGCTAAAGAATTTACTTACTAACAGTACATTTAAAATAAAAGACCCAAACTAATAACATAAGACACCAGTCAGATATACAAATGGTCACCTGAGACAATCCAAATGTTTTATTTCTGCAGCGACTCCAGGTTTATTCCAAAAAAATAATAATTTTGGTATTGTGTGGCCCTGCATGCCACGCCATAGGTGCACAACTTTACTTGCTCTCTAAGCTTTGGACATTTAAATGTCACTGTCCTTTCACAAAACTGTGGTCAAGTCCGGTGACCTCCCTGTGTGGTGTTCAGACTTACGTGGCCAGTCAGGAAAATAGGACAAAGTGGATTTAGATCTCTGAGTAACTTGAAATGAAAGTAAATTGCAGTTCTTTTGTGGAAGCCACAATAGGCCGACCCCTTGTGTCGTTGTTGTTATTGTGTGCCCAAACTCTGTTTAATTAGGAAGCAGTTCAGCTGGCCCTGCCTCCCCCAGCCGGGTATTCATGACTGAAACCTCTTCAAAATGAACAAGCTTTCTTTTGTCTGGGAAGGTCTCTTTCTCTCAGTCTCTCAATTTCCAACCAAAGCTTTAAGCAGAGATTGAGAAGGCTAACTTCTACATCTCCTTTAAGTAGTTGAATTAATTGGACCCAAGCAAAGTGAGTATTGTGTGCCTCAGTTTAAAACCCCAAAAAGTGGCTGTAGTGTTTGCATTTAATACATCAAATACATATTGCAAACAAAAGAATATTGTGTGTCTTGATATTGTGTGTCTGACGTTCATGGACTTCAGAATTAAAATGTCCTGATAATTTACTCTCCCCCACGTCATCCAAGATATTCATGTCTTTCTTTCTTCAGTCGGAAAAGAAATGAAGGTTTTTGAGAAAAACATTCCAGAATTGCCACCAATTTTAAACTCTGACCACAATGTTGTGCATATGATTCCTGTGTACAGGACTAAACTTAAAAAAAGCAAACCAGAAAGGAAAATGATCAGAATGTGGTCGAATGAGAGTGTAGAACAACTGAAAGCCCGTTTTGACTGGACAAATTGGGAAATTTTTGATGAAGGCTCTTTTGATGAAAGAACTACAGTGTTAAATGATTATATTAACTTCTGTGTGGAGCTGAACATACCCACTAAAGAGATTAGAGTTTATTCAAACAATAAACCATATGTGACTAAAGGTATTAAGGAAATGATAAATGTGAGGAAAGTAGCATTTAAAGATAAAGATATTAAGACACTTAAACAAACAGAAAGAGGGTTACAATTAAATTAAAGGAAACAAAAGAAGTGTGTGGAGAAAGCCTTTAAAATTAATAATACCAAAAAGGTTTGGGACATTATGAAAACAATGTCTGGATTGTCGTCTTCCAAAAAAATCTATTGTAGCTGATGATGAATTTTGTTTTGGGAATGAATTAAACATCTTTTTCAACAGATTTGAACCAATTGGCAAACACAACAAGATCAAAGAAACAATAGATACAGTTCCATCATCATTGGACAGAATTGTTATTGAGGTTGAGCATGTTAGGAAAACGTTTCAGTCTATTGATACAAAAAAGGCTGTTGGTCCTGATGGATGTAGTGCAGGTCTTCTAAAGAATTTTGCACATTAATTAGCACCGGTGTGGCAACCAGTATTTCAAGCTTATAGCTTGATATGGAAGACCACATACATTAAACCATTACCGAAAATGCCATGTCCAAGAGAATATAAAGATTTTAGACCAATAGCCCTCACCTCTGTGATTGTGAAATGTTTAGAGAGATTGTTACTCCAGCATTGAGTTATGACAGTTAAAGATAAATTAGATCCTTGGCAGTTTGCCTATAAGAAAGGCTGTAGGACTGAAGACGCAGTTGCTGCTTTAGTACATATCATCTCTAAACATTTAGATAAATCTAAAACAATTGAAAGAACTATGTTTTTAGATTTCTCTTCTGCATTCAACACAATACAGGTTGACAGATTGGTGTCAAAACTTGTACAGTTGAATGTTAATCCCTATCTGATCCAGTGGTATACTTCATTTCTCACTCAGTTCAGAGAGGCAAAGTGAATAAAACAGTGTCGTCTGCAATCATTACAAATGTCAGAGTACCTCAAGGTTGCGTTAGTTCTGCCATACTTTTCACCTTATATACAGACGACTGTCGAACTGACATGTTAAATCAGTATATTTTGAAGTATTCTGATGACACTGTTTTAATATCTGTGTTAAATGATTTGGACAGTCCTGAGTTTCATCAACAAGGTGTGACTAAATTGATTTAGTGGTGTGAGAATAATGCTCTTGTCATTAATACGAGTAAAACTGAGGAGATTGTATTTGGGTCTGCATCTGATATAATGCCTGTTTTTATTCATAAGGAGGAAATCAGATCGGTTAAGACATAAATATTTAGGAGTGATTATAGACGATATGTTATCATGGAAAGATCACATTGATACTCTATGTAAAAAAACAAAGCAGAGAATTTACTTTCTTCGTCGTCTCAGGTCATTTGGAGTAAGAAAACAGATTCTTCTGTTGTTCTATAGGTCTGTGATAATGAGCATACTGCAATATTGCAACTCTTTTTGGTATAAAAGCCTGTCTGTTATGCTGAAAACAAAGTTGTGTAATCAATTAAAAATTTGCTCAAAGATTGTAGGTCAGCCTCTTGAGAAGCTTTACGACTCAGCCTATTATAACAATTTGCTAAGGCTAGCTAATAATATAGCTTCTAACCCTATGCATATTTTGCATAAAGAGTTTGAACTACTACCATCAAAGAGGAGGTATAGCGTCCCCAGATTTAACAAAGTGAGGCTGAAACACTCTTTTGTGCACCAGGCTATCTTAGCGTTGAACAAAAACACTCAATCAGAAATCAAGAGTACTGTGAAGGTGTTAGATGCATAAGTGTTGTATTGAATGAATGTGTAATATGTGATGTTTAAGTGCATGTCGATGTAGAATGTATGTTAGATGTTGTAAACATAGACACTGTTATGCAAGAAAAATTTCAGACTCGTCTGACAATAAAGTATAAAAGTAAGTAAGTAAAGTAAGAATTGAAGGTCCAAATTGCAGTTTCAGTGCAGCTTCAAAGGCTCGAACCAGAGGTCTTCAACCCTACTCCTGGAGGCCCACTGCCCTGCAGAGATTATATCAAACCTGCTTCAGTCTGTGAATTCAAGCAATCCTGAAGAGCTTGACTAGCTGGTTCAGGTGTGTCTGATTAGGGTTGGAGTAAAACCCTGCAGGACAGTGGGCCTCCAGGAGCAGGGTTAAAGACCTATGCTCTAAACGATCCCAGCCGAGGAATAAAAGTCTTATATAGAGAAACCATTGGTCATTTTCTAAAAAAAGAAACATTTATATACTTTTGAAAGGGTCATGAAACCCTAAACTAAATTTTCTGAGATTTTATCAGAGGTATGTGTGTTGAACACCATTGAAGACAATGTTAGCATCTGTTAGATTTAATAGTAGGGTGAAAATGGTTAAATTTTAGTTTCTTTCCGCTATTTTCGTCTTCCGGGTTTAAAATCTTCATCGCAGGCTGTGACGTGGCAGAGCACAGTATAGTGCGTTGATGACTCATCGGTCTCTCATAATTATTAATGAGACTGAGTTTTCATATCCTATGAGAAGACACTGTCTCTTAATTATTCATGACACCATGTGGATCTTTCCAATGATAGACATGTCAAACTGTGATATCGCGTAGTAGAGGAGAGCGACAATCATGGGACGCAAGTGTATATTTTCGTGGTGCAGAAGTTCAAGTGGATTGAATATGTTTCCCCGCGATGCTGCCAGGGCTAGACTCTGGCTCCGGGCAACCGCCATCAACCACGGACATATCTAACTTGTACGTGTGCCGCAAACATTTTACCCGAGAGAGCTTCGAGAACTGGAGAATGGTGGACTTCGGCCTTGTTGACGACCAATGCAAGTTACGTCTTGCCAGTAATGCGGTACCAAGTCCCGAAGATTTTTTTTTAAGTGGAAAATGTATTGTATTCAAATATATGCATTTATAGTGTGTATAAACAACTATATATTTTATAATGACATTATAATGATAGGCTACATGTATATTAATATGTTTTAAATAGAATAACGATTTCTGTAGGCTAATATATGTAGCAGGGCATTCAGTTACTTTTGAAAGGACAATAATAAAGTGTCCGTGTATTTCATTAGACTTTAAATTTGCCAGCTAGAAAAAAAATCTAGCATTTCCTCACGTTTTACCACTGATTATTAGTGACAGTCGATATGCATGGGCCACTGGCGATGACAGTTCCCCCTCTCCCCTCCCGTGTCATACCACACCCACAACCCTCCCTTCTTCTCACAGCCATCCACGCCCATTTAAGTTGCATTTTTCAAAAAGATTGTGAGCTAGACCTGAGCTGAAAGAGGGGGGTTTCATGACCCTTTAACCACTAATGCTTGTCTTGCAAAGGTCTACGCTGAAAGGTCACGTAGACCCCACTGAAGTCACTATATGGAGAAAAATCCTGGAATGTTTTCCTCAAAAACCTTCATTTCTTTTCAGCTGAAGAAAGAAAGACATGAATATCTTGGATGACATGGGTGTGAGTAAATTATCAGGAAATTGTGAACTAATCCTTTAAACAGTGGCCTGTTTAAACACTTCAGGGTGAACACTTCCATCTCAAAACGTTTTATGTAGTAAACAGGCTGGTTTTGTATTTTTAAGTTCAAATGTTTACCTCAGGAGCCATGAAGGCAATGGTTCCCAGGAGCTGACCCTGGAACTCCCCCGCACCCGTGCCTTTTGAAGCCAGACGTGCTGCTGCCCCAAAGTCAGCTATCCGCAACCTCTGGCCCGTGCTGTCGATTAGTAGATTGGCACCTACACAGGTTAAAAGGAGAGCATAAATATGGGAACACACCCTAAAGCTCTGCTCCACAACCTAGTGAGCTGCCTTGCTGCCTACTGCCTATGTAGAGAGCTAACATCTAAGACAGCAGAACTGAAATTAAACGCCACACTTGGGCAACAACCCCACGTTACACAAATAGAGCTCCAATGCTCTGCAACAGAGTTGGAAAAAAAAAAGTTGGGTAGTTGGATAGTATGATGCTATCTCAGTAGGAACCTGCTTAGGTTTGGAACAGAGCTTATAACACACAAAAATATTTTACTGAAAAAGGCACTGCCTTCTCCATCCACCAAACAAACCTGTAAAGGACACAAGAGTACGCTGGAAACCATTCCTCCCAGTTTGAGTCAACAGCAGTGCTTTCGGTAGCCATGCTCCAATAGCTTACCTTTGATGTCGCGGTGTATGATCTGATTCTCATGGAGGTAGGAGAGACCTCGTAGGAGCTGCTCGGTGTAGTTGATGACCACGCCCTCCTTAAACGCGCCATATTTATTTAAGAGATGAGATACTGAGCCACCTGAGGAAAACAAAGGAGTTACAAGTATGCCTTTTATGGACCAGGACAGATCTGGTAAAACAGTCATTCTGAAAACTGTTACTTACAAAGAGGAAAATAGCCAAAAGGGCCTCTTGTTAATGTAATAATTTATTGTGAGATCCAGTGTTGCCAGGATCGCGGTTTTCCCACACAATTGGGCTATTTAGAAAATGCAGTCAGGGAAAGGATTATTCAATTAACAATTGTTTTGGGCTACATTTTAAATTTAAATCTACCCTCTCTCCTGAGGGTATGGTCAGGTACAAATCAAAAGACACATCTGACCTGAGCATGCATCAATCTCTGCTCTCTTCCTTTTCTGTCGATGTTCATGCTGCGAAATCTTTATATTTCCACAACAAGATCAACAATGCTTCTAACACTTCTCAAGACATTCAACTCTCTCCTCCATCCACCTCCACTACCACCCACCTCCTCTTTAATTGCTGATGATTTTGCTCATTTCTTCACTAACAAAACAACTATCAGTAGTCAGTTCTCAGCTCCACACACACAGGAACCCAGACCAACCACACCCTCAGCCATAAATCTTCCCTCCTCCTTCTCTCACCTCACTGAGGCAGAAGTATCTAACCTTCTCCTCTCCAGTCATCCTACCACCTGCCCTCTAGATCCCATCCCCTCACACCTTCTACAAGCCATCTCTCCCACACTTCTACCAGCACTCACACACATCATCAACAGCATTCAAGCAGGCTCGGGTAACTCCACTGCTTAAAAAACCCACATTAAACACATCACTTGTAGAGTTACAGGCCTGTCTCTCTTCTACTATTCACAGCGAAAACACTTGAACGAGTTGCTTTCAACGAAGTATCATCTTTCCTCTCTGAACAACCAGCTGGATGTCTACCAACCTGGCTTTAAGAAAAGGCATTCAGCCGAGACTGCATTGCTGTCGGTCACAGAAGCCCTGGGAATCGCAAAAGCTGCTTCCAAATCTTCAGTTCTCATCCTCCTGGATCTGTCTGCTGCCTTCGACACTGTGAACCATCAGATCCTTCTGTCCACCCTCTCATCTCTGGGCATCACAGGTACTCCTCTCCACTGGTTTGAGTCCTATCTCACAGGTAGGTCTTTCAGGGTTGTCTGGAGAGGTGAGGTATCCAAAGCACATCAACTGAACACAGGGGTTCCCCAGGGTTCAGTTCTTGGTCCTCTCCTCTTCTCCATCTACACCACACCACTGGGACCCATCATACAGGCACATGGTTTCTCTTACCATTGCTATGCTGATGACACACAGCTCTTCCTCTCATTTCAACCAGATGATCCCACAGTAGCTGCACGGATCTCAAGCTGTCTGGCGGACATCTCAACATGGATGAAGGAACATCACCTGCAACTCAACTTGGCAAAGACTGAGCTCCTCATCCTCCCTGCCAATCCGTCTCTACAGCACGAATTCACTATCCAGCTAGATTCTTCCTCAATCACCCCATCAAGGTCAGTCAGAAATCTTGGAGTAATCTTTATGACCAGCTGACCTTCACAGACCAAATTACAAAGACAGCTCGATCATGCAGGTTTGCTATGCACAACATCAGGAAGATCAGGCCTTTCCTAACTGAGCATGCAACACAACTTCTCGTCCAGGCCCTGGTAATTTCTAGGCTTGATTACTGCAATGCTCTTCTGGCTGGACTTCCATTATGTGCAATTAAACCCCTACAAATGATCCAGAATGATGCAGCTCATCTTGTCTTCAACGAGCCCAAGTCACTCCTCTGTTCATCTCTCTGCACTGGCTACCACTCGCTGCTCGCATCAAGTTCAAGGCATTGACACTTGCTTACAGATTGACCGCAGGCTCAGCTGCCTCCTACTTTTACTTACTTCTACGGAGTCTACATCCCTACCAGAAGCCTACGATCGGTCAATGAGCGACGGCTCGTGGTACCATCACAGAGAGGCACTAAATCACTCTCCAGAACATTCTTATTCACGGTACCATGCTGGTGGAACGATCTCCCCACCCTCATCCGGAATGCAGAATCCCTGACAACAATCAAAAGACAGCTGAAAACTCATCTCTTCCCGGAGCACTTAACCTCTTAAAAAAAAAGAAAAAAAGAAGTCTTTCCTTTTCCTTTCATCCTCCCTTGTCTGGCTTATGCTACGCTAAGCAATGCCTGAACTTTGTATTTTGAGCACTTCCTAGTGGGTAGTTTGATTGAGTTTGGCATATTAACTATTAGGCTATTAATGATAAGTCTTAGCTAGGGTTGCCAATGTGGCAAATATAATACAGAATCGTCCCATTAAGCAGCATTTATAAGCATGGATACAAGTATTTGAAGTTTAAGACATCAAAGTAGCTTTCCGTATTAAACCCAGTTGGTCCCATATAGGCGGTAATGTAGTCTAGCGTACACACAGGCAAACGCTGTGTTATTTTGGGCAAGTTCTGAGTCTTTGGGCTGGAAATTTTTCTGGGACCTGGCAACCCAGGGGAGATTCCAAATAGGACCACTACATTTAAGGAGCAGTTATATTTACTTTTATTCAGCAAATTCTCAAGGTCAAAATCCAGCCATTTCAACATTCCACGCCAATGGGAATTGAGAGCAGATTTCGCAGGAGGTTCAAGTTTGACCAATCTTGGCCAACAAAAAACTGCTTTGTTTGAAAGTAATACTGGACCCGTTGACCACACCTTTACTCTTTGCAAGTTTGTGGACAACCCACCTGCCATCCACTCCACAAAAAGGTTGTAGTTGTTCTTCTCACAAGTTGCCCCAAGCATTCGGATGATGTTTGGGTGGTTAAGGAGACCCATCATGCGAATTTCCTCTCGCAGTGCCTCCACCACCTCCTCCTGCTCCGAGGAGGTGTTCCTCACATACGTCACCTGATGAATAAAATCACAATCAAGCATTGTGTCTGTATGTGTTCTGCAATATCTACCAAAAACAAAACATATTCAGCCCCGATAAGTCCATATTTAGTGCTTTTGTATACCCCAGGGGTGTCCAACCTTGAGTAAGTGACCCGTCAACATAATTTCTCAGCATTTTCGGATAATTTTCATAAATTTGCGTTTACAACTATCCAAACACACAGATCCCCCATAAAGTGTTAGGAAAAAGTATCGGGTGGTGTGTGTAACAGATATTCTCACCTGTTTGACAGCCATCAGAGTACCCGTGCCCACATCCTGAGCCTGGTAACATGACGAAAAGGCACCCAGGCCAATTTGTTGCCCTTTTAACCATTCCTTGCCCTCCCTGTATGGCTGCTTTGCTTTGGTATGACCAGGCAGAGTCTCTGGTGTCTGACCATGAGAAGGAAAAAAGGCAGGGAGAAATGAAGCCAAACAAACTTTTTGATCTTAAAATTGTACATGAGCAGTGCTTGCGTAAAGCAGAATGATTAAACAGTCAAGGTTTAAACCTAGATGTTATTGGTGTCAAATCTCTTTCCACATTCTCAGAAAACCTTTAGAGGTACAAGTTACAACAGTTTGTAACTGGGGGACTGCCCTTAATGGGACATCTTTGTACCTTATTTCCACCATACCTAACCTTATTGTACCGTATTTCATGGTGGAACCTTAATGGTACATATTACTACACTAAGGCCCTGTTCACACCTGGTATTAAGATGCGTTTGGTCGATCGGATCACAAGTGGACGACGCAAATACAGATCTAAACGGGGTCTAAAACCTTTTGAGCTTTTCCACTTTTGACCACTTCCAGAGGTAGTCGAAAACGCATTTGACTGGATGGCTTTCGTAGTGTAAACGCTCATGTGGTCGATCAAATGTGTTCAAACATCCACAAGAGACTGTATTCTCTCCGCCTACTGACCTGATGCGTAAACATTATGGGAAGCGCACTAGCCAGACAGGATTTAAACTTTGGTTTGAAGATGAAAAACAAACCAAGCAGCATGTTCTCTCGACCAAAACGGATCTTAATACCAGGTCTAAACAGGGCCTAATCTACTAATATGCACCCTTTTTGGGGTAAATAAGGTACCAAGTTGTCCATTTAAGGGTACTGCCCCAGTGACAAGCTGTTATTTCTGACAGTGTACAGGAGTCGCCTTTATTTTTGAGCAGAGTTTACTATGATATTAATAGCCATGCACTTACATCCACCTGAATAATGATCACGTCCTCTCCTTTCTCCACCTGTAACTGCGGGATGATAGGCAGGGCATCTTGAGACTCGGACATTGCCATGACCACAGCCAGCGCCTCCTCTTCCTCAGCCTCCATCTTCTCCTTGCACTTCTGGTTCTTGGTCATGTCCTCGCTGTAGGTGTCGTCGTTGGTGTTGGCCTGCTCCGGTGACAGCACTGCCACTTCGGACTGGAAGGTGACGGTGCTGTCTGCCACAGGTATGGAGGCCTCCAACAGGTCCTCCATGCTGGAGCTGAGATCGGCCGAAGCGTCTATGCCGGGGAATTTCTCCTCGACTGGTGTGAAGACCGTGTCCTCGCTGGGGATGAGAGCAGAACCGCCACTGCAGCACACCTCGTCTCTGGACCTGCCCTCCTGAAGGTCCAGTTTCATGTTGCTCTTTGTGCCTGGGCTTAAAGCTTTAGCTCCGTCAGGTGGAGAGGGTCGAGAGGGTCTGGGCCAGTGGATGTGACTCGAGGGAAGCGGTCGAGCTTGGGTGAACACCGGGGAGGGCAGCTTCTCCGGCTCCTTCCCACTACAGGCACCTCCACTTAATCCCTTCTGCACTGGCAACTTGCGCTGGGAACTCAGTGAGGACTGGGGGAGTTTGTTGGGAACAAAACTCTGTGGAAGGCCTTTGTGGTTTTCTGGAGGGAAGGCTGAGGCGTTGGCCATGGACAGAGAAGGAAGGCTCGGGGGTTGACTGGATGAGGGGGAGTTCAAACATTGACTAGATCTGTTTCGGGCCTGAATAGGGGGCTTTGGAAACTCAGCAGGGCTTGTGATGATGTTTGAGAGTCTCTCTGTTATATCATCTACAGGAGTTGAACTGGCTTGACCTGAAAGCGGCACCTTGGCGGCCGGCTGCTGTAGACCATGGGTGGGCGAGTTCCTTTCAGTCGTACACGGGGAGTTATGGGGGGCGGTGGGCTCGATGAAGGCATTGGAGAGCGAACTGTGCCCGGTCTGTAGGTCGTCCACTCCCAGATGGATGGCTTCCAAGATGTCCATCTCCTCAGCGATGGCTAGAAGACGCCTGCGCATGCGGGCGTAGTGAGTGGAACTGGTGACGTTGAGCATGTCCAGAAGCTTGACAAAGACATGAGGCACACGAGCTACCATACGGGCAGCGCTCAGGAAGACGCGACGAGAAAGCTTACCCACCATGGAGTGAGAGTTATCGATGGACTGCAGCGCAAAACTTAGAAGAGGCAGCAGCTTCTGGTACCTACAAAGCCAAAATAATGGAGTTAAAACCCATGACAATACAGGAAAGAACTTTCCACAAAAAGGCTGCAAACTGGTTTCCCTTTCCTTTTTAAATTGGTTTCAATTATCAAGAACTGAATAAATATTGAGCTATGTTTTGCTTGCAACCCTGGTACAACTCACAAAATATCTTAATGCCTGCTCTAATGGGATCTGTGTTGCAGTCAACAGTAGAGACCCAGGTATACTTCATTTTCTGCATTCGGCTCCATGGGGTTAGGCACAGTTAAGCATGCAAGCTTTTCAAAGAATACTGCATTGGCCGTGAAGATTTAAAGACGTGTTCGGCGGATGCATACTATCCAGTGGACTTTGCTTTCAAGTGCTCAAGTCACTTGCACATGTGTGTGCCGAAGTATACTTTGGGCTTTACTGTGTCTGCAAAGGTGTGACCCAAATTGCCCATACAATTAGTGAGACAAAGTCATCTGTTACCAGATAAAAAGGTCTGGTTGCACAGACAGAACCTAAGGCTAAGACTTTAAGAAGGATGAGACATGAAAGAATTAACCGCTCTGTTACACTACCACTTTCAATAAATTCTTCTTCCCAGGCGGAGAAATTTGATTACATTGAATTTGGCTGATCAGCTGTTGGGTGGCTTGCCAAAAAAAAAGTAAACAGATACCAATCTAGCAAGCTCTTACTGAGTGATGGGCAACACTACAGATGTCCCTATTCGGATGACCTCGATTCAGTTTGATTAGATTCTGATTCGTTAGAGTTATAATGTCCATTTTGCTTACATATGAAAGAAATTATCCTTGGTTAAATCTACAATCCTGGTACTTGTTTTTAACTGTATAATTGTAAAATCGTATCACTAGAAAATGACGACATCACGCAAACATGTCCTAAAAATTGTTTACAGGGTTGCAAAAATGCCAAACTTTTATAAAGGTTCATAAACGGAGAACAGAAGCTCAGCGAGATTAGGATGCATTTCTGTACCTCTCCGAAAGGTTTTGGGCCTGGGTGCAGTCTCCACCTGACACAATATGAGGGTAGAACTCAGCAGGAAACTCCAGCAAGAGCCTGTCGATCAGACACAGACGACCCAGCAGGCCTTGCCAGTTATTGGCCTCCGTTTTAGAGCCCAAGATACAGTTCAGGACATAGTCAACTCCACCGATACCAATAGAGCCTAATGGAAAATCAGAGATGAACATGTTTCAATCGAAAAGCAAACAAATGTAAAGAAAAAAAGGGTATGTTTATCGGTCAATCATCTAAGCTTCTTATTCCTCACACAAAGCTAAAGTATAGGTGCATCCCAAATCTCGTATTTATGCTTTATTCTATGCAGTTTTGTAATATAAAGTGTGAGTAGGGTGTTCACACTGAAAATGTTCAAATTTAACTAATAAATAAAAACAGAAGTGTGGAATGTTTAACATTTCTTCACAGCTTTCCTTATATAGCGTATGGAGATAGGCTATCAGACTCCAGTGACAAAATAACCTTGTAAACCTTATACACTAGACCAGGGGTGCAAAACTCAGCCCGGCAGAGTTTGGCTTCAACCCGACTCAAGCACTACAGGCTTATTTGAAAACTACAGGTATGTGTGTTGGAGCAGGGTTGGGTTTTGCACCCCTGCACTAGACAGTTGAGTACATAGTGCTTCTTTTGGGACACAACATAAATAACTTCAAACGACATGGAACATCATTAATAAAGTCAAATGGACTACTTTTATGATGCTTTTCTTGTAGATTGCCAGCCACAAAAACTAAATTTGCCTTTCTGGGTGCACTATCAATTTAAAAAATAAGAAATAGGAACCCGTTAATGGAATATTAACCACCAGCCAACTTCAGGATATTTCATTATCACACAGATTTGCTGATTACAAATTTGTACCTGCTTTGAGGATTTCTCTGCCCACAGCGAGTTCCCCCATTTGACCTTTGCACAGCTCCAGTAGAGTGGACACGGACAGCTGACTGGTGCGACTGTGAGCACAACAAGACAAACACGTACACTTAGCAAACCCACTTCAAAAGAGCATTTAAAGTCAACAGGACTCAACAGGGATACTAAAAATAAACACGTGATTATCCATCAAGAATTGATTGGATGGGGAAAAGAGGACGTCAGTGAAAAGCTTCCAGTTACTAGATTCTGATGAAAGATTGTTTACTTTAAAATAACCAATGAATCATTCACAATAAGACCAGGGAGTTGTGGTGGAGTAACTAACATTTGATTTCATACTGACAAAATTACACTATCAACAAACACCAGCAATAATGTGTCTGTGCCTACAGTGCCCATCCACTAGGTGGCAATAGCCTGTTAACTTCATGACAGCCTAGAAATGATATGATGTATACCAGATGTTCTGATTGTGATCATTCCCCTTTTGCTTAGCTTTGAATAAATGGAGGAATCCTGGATCAGGTCAGTTACACCCAGGCAACTCATTTATCCACTATGCGTGATGACTAGGGCCCAATCAGAGAGCTCTTCAGCGAGTTGTACCTGTTGGCGTCCGCACACTTGACCAGGATGGTTTCCACCACGGGCCGCAGCAGCTGCTGTAGACGAGTCCGCTCTGACACAGAGTGACAGGGGGTGTAGACGAGCATCGCTCGCAGGGTTTTCTGAAACACAGCGCAAAGATCGACTCTTAATACACATCACAAACGATGGTGCCAAATTCAGGACTGTGGCTTGTGTTGTGGATTCTCCAGTCCTGTGTCGAGCACAAGACTGGTTCTCGGACAGCTGTGATTCAGGACACAGAGGGATGCACGATTAATTGAAACATTAGCCCCCAAGTCTAGTCCCAGACTAAAATGCATGTTTTAACTGAAAGCATATCTTAAAATATGTCAGTGCCACTGTTTTGTCTCAAGATTCACACCAGTAATGTTTTTTTCTAAGGCACGCTTATAAAAGATACTTAAATGTCCTAATTGAACTAAGACCTAATCCCGGGTTAATCTAAACCCTGTCTGTGAAACCGGGCCTGAAAGCGCTTGATGTCAACAAAAGAGAAGCTTTAAGACTATTCCTCAAATAAAAGCATGATTGTTTAACATTTAAAAATGAAGAAATTAAGACGGCAATAAATAGTAATATTGAAAATTTAGTTGTACTATAAAATAAATTCTTAAATATTAGCTTTTTACTTTACAGTGAAATTATAATAGTACTATTTTTATTTTGTTTAATATACTTAGTGATGATGATAATAATAATAATAAGGAATGTAAAAATAATATTTAGTAATAATAACTAATAATAAAAAATAAAAAATATTAATAATTAACATATTTGGTCAAATTGTGCAACAAACAAGCAAAGCAAAAAGAGATTATATATATATACATTTTTTTAAATAATGTCAAAAAACATATTTTCAATCAGAATCACAATTTTTATCATAAAAAAAACACACACACAAAATAAGGCATCCCAACACTGGGCATCATGTGATGGCCAAATATAGTACCAAAATTGTTTACTGTCCAAAAGTAAAAATGTTAACATTAAAATGTGGATTCACTTATTTTGTTTGTTTGTTTGAGTGTTGTGTTTAAAAGCCTCTTGAATTTGAAAACATGTTGGCATCTTCCTAACACGGCTAGCTTCTACACAGTGACCGCGTTTGATTGGCTCTGACGTCAACAACAAAACAAACAAGACGCGTTTTCTCCTCCATTTTAAAAGTTGATACGCATTTGTATTTTAAAAGCCTTTATACACAAACACAAGTATGAGATTAGCTGCAGTTCATTAATTATTTGCATTACCAGCGTATTCTCCCTGAGGTCTGAACAGTCCTGTGATCAGCTTGACTACAGTACATTAACAGTGCTACCCTGTGTGTGTGTGTGTATGTGTGTGTGTGTGTGTGAGAGAAAGAGTTCACCCTGACCCTGACTCTCAGAGAGAGCTGGGGAGTGGTGACTGATAGCACAGTGCACTGGAGCGCGGCCCAGCATTGATTAACACAGCATACACACTCCTCCCGAGCACAAACACACATTCACCCGCCTACACACACACACACACACACACACACACTAAAGGATAAAATAATGATCCTCTGCATGCAAAAAATAACTCCACGTCAAGTATAAATAGTGAAACATTATGACATTTGAACTCGCCACATTTAGTTCACAAGCAGACTTCAGATCAGCCGAAGCGCTACACACACTGCAGTGTTTACAGAGCAGTCCAACACTAGGTAACATCCTGAAAGCTTTTGTCTGTAGTATTTTTAGTTCATAGAGACAGCCCTCTTTTCTGGTGCGTGTTCGAAGAATATAGGAAAACTGCTGGAAAGCCCCGAACGGACAAAACGCTTGTTGTTTTCATAAAGCCGGCTCACTGGAGCACACAGCCTGAGGGAAAGACAGCAAGTCCAAGCAGAAAGAGCTATTGTTTTTTTGTTTTGGTTTGTTTGTTGTTTTTAAGGAGGAGAAATAGGTTATGAAAGAAAGAAAAAAATAAACCTTTCTTTTCCAGCTTCAGTCTGAGGATCCCTGCTGCTTCCAGACTTCCTGGTTTGAAGTGAACTTTAAAACTAGCCAGCGTGTGTGTTGCACTTTAGTACTCTGGCCTGCTTCAGATAACCTCAGATCAAAGTTGACGAAAGGAAAAGAAATATCTAGACATTGTATTCAATGAAGATGTTTTTGCACACCAGCCGATGGCAAGTAAGAAGTATTAAGGGCCATGAAACGGTATTTTGCGCTATTTCTGGTTTATTTCTTGGGATTTTTGACATTTTTACTGAGAGAACAGTCTATAGGTGTAGGGCTGGGAGATCAGATATTACTGGCATTAATGCATTTTGCTGGTGTTATTGCATCATTTTGCTTGCAATATAAAATTAGGGAATGAGTATTTGTGTAAGTGCTATGTGAAAAGAGTCAATGTTTTCAAGGAACACTAACTTTTAATAATAATAATAATTCGTCACATAGCACTTTACCCAGCACTCAAAATACTTCACATATGGAAGAGGGGATCTCCTCAAACAGCACCCGATGATGATGCGACGGCAGCCATACTGTGCCAGAACACACACACCGGCTTACGGTGGAGAGGACACAGTGATGGAGCCAATCAGTGTATATGGGGATGATTAGGAGGAGCCATGATGATGGGCAGAGGCCAATGGGCACGTGTGTTCAGGATGCCGGGGTTACACCCCTACTCTTTATCGAAGGACATCCTGGGGGTTTTAATGACCTGAGATTCTTCAAAGAACTTGCTTTGTTGCGACAACCACACATTTTGTAAATACTTTTCTTTATATTTTATATTGGAACTTATATATTTTTTTAAATAAACGTTCGTGTTCATTTAGTAAAAAGCAGTAAGTGGTACTATGCCTGGACTATTTTTTATCATCTAGATTATGTTGCAGTAGACGTTATTGTGGAAAAATATTGAGATTTGTATCTATATTGCCTAGTCCAATTTGGACGTACCCGTGGTACGATGGAGGACACTGAAACCAGCCAGTAGACCAGCAGAGTGATCACTTCTTCCTCAATGTGGCTCAGTCACCCGTTCTGACCGGGTCATGTGAACATTCTCCTTTGTCCTGAATTGTGGTGTTAATGAAGCTTAATGAAAGAGCAAAGGCCACCAAGCCAAAATGACGAGCCAATACTCGGGTTTAACCAGCCCTGATGACTGTAGAGCTCTTGGTTCGTGCAGGATTGAGCAACTTCCTTCTGCTGTGCCACAATCTCTCTTGTTCATGTGATCTTAACCGAAGCATCACGTACGCTGTCAACACGACAAGTGAAGTGTTCACATGATAATAGCAGTGGGTCAGGCATGTGAAACAGAGGGTAAGCAAGCTCACATGTGACGGCACTTCACCATGGACATAATTAGGGATGGAGTGTTTGAATAATAAAGACCTTTGCTTCACAGAAACATGAATGTAACCCAGTGGTTACCAAACTGAGGGGGCGCGACCTGGAGTTATAAACGTGTACAGTCAGCAGATTGTTATGCTAAAGATAACTCTTCAGGGTGATACAAGACCCCACTGTGAAATTATACTAGTTGAAAAAAATATTAATTTGACATATCTTATCACGGTGACTCTCGATACAGCCTGAGTGGTCCGTTTCAGTTGTAGTGGTTGTCGTGCAATAACAGACCCCTCGATGGAGCGACTGAAGAATCAGATTGACTATTGCAGGGAGCCGTGTGAAAACATAAATGGATGATGCACGGTTCTGCACTAAGCATGGACACTTTTGTGAAAGGACTGTCAGTGGCAGTAAACAATGAATTTACTTCGAATGTCACAGCTGCCAAAACACTGTCTACACCAGACGCGAGCAGCGCGACAAACACAGACAGAACCCATTATAATCAGTGTTGCTGTCTACACCGGATGCGGCGTGACATGACAAATCACGAGAGTAAACTCATGCCCCTCCGGTATTGCAGGAATAAAGTACTGGACTTATAGTAATGGATTGCAACGCTCGCTTCGTCACGTCCAGTGAAGACAGCCTCAAGACAAGACAGCGTGACGAGGCATAGCTCTCGGATTCAGCAGAGCAGCGGTGGGGAACGCAGAGAGACTTAGAGATTCATCACGAGCACAGAAGAGAAGCCTGCAGACGTTGTAGTACTGTGTTATTTACAATGTTTCAAATCCTATAGGATTGTGCAAGCAATGTTTTGTCTGAGAGTGTCTTTATGTGGGTTCATGTGGGGCAGGAAGAGTTTGGGAACCACTGTTAGCCTGTGTCGACTGAAGCACTCACTCATTGCCATGTCGGTAACACTTCACAATAAGGTTCATTAGTTAATGTATTAACTAACATGAACTAACAAAAATTAGTAAAAACTGTAACAAACGTATTTCTCATTGTTAATGTTGGTTAATAAAATACAGCTGTTCATTGTGTGTTCATGTTAGTTCACAGTGCAGTAACTAATGTTAAGAAATACAACCTTTGATTTAAATACCGTATTACTAAAAGTTGAAATTAATATGAAGTAAGATTAATAAATGCTGAAGAAGTATTGTTCATTCTTAGCTCATGTTAACGAAGGTAGTTATGCTGGGTACACACCAAAAGATTTTTTACATCTTATAAGATTTTCAAAATGTGACAGACCACAAACATGAGGACAAAAAATCCTAGATTTAAGCGTTTTGCTCCTATAGTGTGTGGTGTGCCATGATGTGACAAAGACAGCACACCACACACGAACAGATTTTCAACCAGAGTCTCGACTGTGAACAAAGGAAATCTCACAAAACCTCGCGAGACTTCAGAATAAGCTTGGCGGACGATATGCAGGAAGAAATTGCGATGATAGTGTTTGGAATGATTTTCACAGAAAAACATGCGTGCTGTTGCCACAAATCAACAAGCCGATCCTCCATCTCTGCTGTCCACATCAATTTAACTTTTTGCAACGCCATGACTGCGTTTGTTATGCTTCCGTCTTCCATCATCTCGCTTTCTGATTGGATATTGTTTCGTTTCACGTGATAATCTCCAGAGCGTGCGCACGTTTGTCATCGGGGTTCCCCCCACACATCAGGATTTCTGATCGTAAATATTCAACATGTTGAATATTTACGATTCGCGATCGGGGCGGCTCCGAAGTTCTTCCGAGCAGGTTCGGACACTCTTAACACACCTCACACCAAGGGAAAATCTGATAAGATAATCTGTAGAACCATCAAGATAATCGGGACATAGCTAGGATTGTCGGAAGGGGGCCCAAAATCAGCCTGATTATCTTTTGGTGTGTACCCTACCCAGCATTAACTAATGAACCTGATTGTAAAGTGTTACCGTCATGTCTAGCAGATAATATACTACTGACAGTATTACTGAAGTGATGTTGTTTTGCGTCTTAAAACAGTTTTGGATGCTAACCCTATATCTTCAGATGCTGTATCAGTGGCAAGCGTGAGTGTTATAAAGCCTCTCACCAGTGCGGCCACATAGACCTTGTAGACGGGGTCGGCGCAGACCATGGAGAGCACACTACAGCACGACTCCACCACCACCTCTCCGGTCACCGCGCCCAGCCCCGCCCCCGGCCCGGCCCCGGCCAATGAGTGCTCCCCGTTCGCCAGCAGGAGCGCCCCGCTCACGTCATGTGACAGCCGCCGGAGCGCCATCTCCCTGATGTTCCAGTTACGGGAAAAGAGACAGCCAACCAGCTCCAGACCAAACACCTGAGAGAGAGAGAGCGAGAGAGAGAGAGAGCGAGAGAGAGAGCGAGAGAGAGAGAGAGAGAGAGAGAGAGAGAGAGAGAGAGAGAGAGAGAGAGAGAGAGAGAGAGAGAGAGAGAGAGAGAGAGAGAGAGAGAGAGAGAGACCGTTTACGTCAGATAATATAACATTAAGAATCAGCACAGGGTCACATTTGTCACTGCAATTTTGAATAAGAAATAAAATAGAAACAACAGAAAGATTTCGTACATGGTTACATATCCGGTTTTAATAAAATCTTTACAAATTAAATGATAAAAGAAAAATACTACCATGCAAAAGAACCACATTTAATTGAAATAGAAATGTTTGGTAACACTGTCATTCTTACGACTGCATTTACATCTTTTTTTTTTTTGGCATTGCATTACAGTAATGAGAATTTAGATGGAAAATATATCAGTTTATGTGGGATTCCCTAAAATATAGTGAGTTTTGCCAATACAGCCAACAATTATTTTTATGATATTGATGGCCTATAATAAAATCGATTCTGTTCTGTACGTTTTTAAAGGCGTAGTCCAGCCAAAAACCCGTCATCATTTTCTCACTCTTACGTTCTTCCAAACCGGTATTAACTTCTTTCTTCTGCAGAACACTAATAATTTTGACATTCAATGGGAACCAAAACTTTTTGGTTACCAACATTCTTCAAAATATCTTCTTTTGTGTTCCATAGAAGAAAGAAAGTCATACAGGTTTGTTGCCTGTGTTGTTGCCATTCAACTTGAGGTTGAGCAAATTATGACAGGATTTTTATTTTTGGGTGAACTAATGGGTCTTAAATAGGTTTAAGAATACATGGAAGCTATGATTTGTTCATGAATGGTCATTTTAATGAGTTTTGTCTAAAGACCTGATGCAGGATCTTGTGTGTGTGTGTGTGTGTGTGTGTGTGTACGGCACCTTGATCCAGGGTTCGGCGAGCTCGGTGTAAGTCTGCGGGATGTGCTGCACTCCATACTGTGGGAGAGAGAAGTCGCCCTCCTGCCCCGACCGGGAGCTCTCGGCCTGAAGAGATGAAGACGAGGAAGAAGCAGCAGCAGCTGTTGGACTCTGGGAGTGGTTTGTTGTGCTTTCCACTGTAGATGAGGCCTCATAACTACACACACAAAAACACAAACACACAGCTCTTTAAGGCAACATCCACTGCACACTACTGTTCAAAACAGTATGATTTTTAATTAAACATTTATTAAGAAAGGATGCATTAAATTGATCAAAATGGATGGTTTCAATTTCAATTAAATGTGGTTCTTTTGAAAAAATAAAATAAATCAACAGCATGAAAAAATGCATTACTGCTTCCACAAAAAGCAGCGCAACTTTTTTTTACACATTGATTATAATCAGAAATGTTTCTTGAGCATCAAATCATCATATCAGAATGATTTCTGACTGACTGTAGAAGACAGTTTATACTAATGGCTGCCATTGTGTCTCATAACACGACAAAACACACGCATGTTTAAGGTCTAATAGCTCAGAAAAACATCACAAAAGGCAACAAACCGAACCCGTGGTTTATGTTCTCATAAGCTGAGATGGCAAGACCATGATGCACTGCCTGTCTGAATGTGCCAACCTCTCGACAGTCATGCCAAGACAAATGGAGGGGATTTACTTCACGAAATTAGAATAATTGCAGTTTCCTAAAGAAGAAACAGCAGGGTTTGGTTTCGGGCATCATTGTGTGTGGGGCGAATCTCTGGATGGTTTGCGGGGAGCTGGAAAACATCAAAAACCGACTAGCCGCTAGCATGTCAATCCCGGGCAGACACACACAAACATGGCTGGTGCCGGGCTGTCTCGCTCACCTAACCACCAGAGAGGAGTTCGACGTCTGCCCACCCTGACCTCTACATGATCTCATCTCAGTCTATGGGTCATGAACATACTCCTGATGTACTTTTCTGAGGGAACTTATGCTCATAAAACCATAAAGCCTCTAGCTTCACTTTAAACATGAACTGCTGAATTCTCTAAGCTTCGATCACGCTTCTTTACCTGTAAAAATCATGAGACTTCCACTTGGCTCTACACAGAGGGCAGATTAATGTGTCGTGATTTCTCCGGCACTCCTCGGCCCCTGGAAAACAAACAGGGCACAAGAGATGTTCACATAACTCATCATTACATGAAGGCTGTCCGGGGATATAGGGCTAGGATGCTCATTCAACAAACAACTAGTCAGACTTCAAACCATCTCCTGTGAGGAATCCTCGTGTTATTACAGGTAATCTGTCTTTTGTGGGTATTATGACACATAAGTGCAATATTAAGCCTATTTACTGCATTACCCAATTGGCTACATGTGGCAATTCAAACATCCCTAAAGGGGGTGTTCATACATTACTTTTTTTAATTCCTTCAGCATTTTTATGCAACAATCTCTTGAGTTTTGAATTGTTTAGCAAGAGGAGAGATCATTTGAAGAGCTCTGTAATAGAGACAACAAATGAGCATTTAACATTTGCGAAACAACATTTAAAAGATCTTCCAAAGCCTTTATTTCTTACGATATCTTCATATTTAGTGCCCTATCAATAGCTGTGTTTGCATGAACCTTAATAATCCATTTGTAATCGGACTAGTAGCACTAGTAGTGGGATAAAAAAAACAACAACAACAAAAACACGTCAATCAGAATGAATTGGCCAAATCAGATTATAAGGGGCGATTTAAACTTTCCTAATCCGATCGAAAGGACATTGAAAACTGAAACTGGAAAGTACTGCTCATGTGCAATGACACAGAAATGGTGTAATGACGTGTGGAACGAGCTGCTGTTATTGTTCAATGAAGTGTCATAAACGACTGTCATGTCGTTCTAAAACTCTCCTTCCACTCATCGTCTGTGAAGTGGAGCGCGATAACGTCCCATCAGTTCTCGTTTCGGACTCGCATCCACAGACGCCTTGTTTTAGCTGCGGGAAGGGCCGTTAGTACCGCTTGATTAATATAAGCAGCGCGGCACAACAGTTCATTTGCTCTGCGTTTCCTAATCAGGGCCCGAAATAGATACATATTAAGTCTGCTCTTTAAAACAAAGAAAAGGAGAATAGTGTGCGCAAACATCGGGAAACTCTGCATATTTGTGCAGTGTGCGGATGTCAAAAGATCTGATTTGAAGCTTGTGACATATAAACGTGCACATCAACCCCATCACTTTATCTAGCGTTCATGTAAACATTACGTTCGGATTTCATTCCGATTGAAACAAAAGGTGTCCATGTAAATGCTGCTACTGTCTTTATTAGCAGACGCAGATTTGGAGAAGATCTTTATGTTTAGAGCATTAGTGTAGATATGAACATATGCTCAGTTTCATGATCCTTTAAGACAGGCTGGTAAGGATCATGTCCTATATTTGGGCTCGCATAAAGTAAGCATAAAAAGGCTCTCGAAGTCTCCCTCAGATTCAGAAGTCAATTCTAGTTCCTGTGCCTACTCTAAATATCACAGTAGGGGATGTGGGATAATCTGGGGTATGACCACTGATATTTCTCTTGGTACTTACATATAGACATGCAGTGATGGTGGAGTTTGTTCCGGCAGCCCTCTTCACACACCGTCAGACTCTCCTCATCCAGCATGTCCAGCAGACAGATGGGACACATCTGCTCCTCCTCGTCCTTCATGCTGCTCACAGGAGTAGACACAGGCTCCGTTTTAAAAGGTGCTATATGTGTGTGATGTGACGCATAGAGAAAATCTACTCTGTTTCAAATGGATCATATGGAGGAATCAAAGAATATCTTTTGAGATTGTACCATGAAAACAGTTGTAGAACTCAAACATTACTTGATCTGACGATTCTCAACATCACTGTACACATTTACACAACAACAACAACAACAAGTATTTGGGGTTTATAAACTTGGCTGGCCCAGTCAGCTCGTGAGGTAACACGGAGAAAGACAGATAGATAGGGGGAGATGTCATAATAGCAATAAACTATGAATTCTGATTGAATGATTTTGCTCAATTACTCCTATAAGACGAATAATGAAGATGCTTGAAATGTAAGGGACTGTTTAAAAGACACCGTTTTCAACTAACAGAAAGCGTTTTGTGCGATTTGGCTGTTCTTTTACACGACAACTGCGTTTTGGGAGCCAGAAAATATTTCAAAAGTTTCAAAGTGCACGTTTTTTAAAGCGATACTGTTATCATCTCAGTGTGAACTACAGAAACGTGAAATTGTGAAAACGGTGACGTCATGCACATGCGTATTGCGTGTTCAGTCTATAGACGCGTAGTGTTTCTATACAAAGTGACATCACCAACTACTGGCCTGGCATGAATAATACAGCGTTTTTGTTGTTTTCACGGATCTGTGTGAACGGGGATCGTTTTGGACCCTGACTTATTGTATGGACGAAAATAGGTTAAAATGATCTTCTTTTGTGTCCAGCAGAAGAAATTCACATACGTTTGGAACAACATGAGGGTGAGTGATTTTAAACTATCCCTTTTTAACAGCGTGTGGTGCTCATGGCACAAGGTGCTGAAAAAACAACAAGACTCTTCATTTAGGGGCTTTTCTCATCAAATACGTGATAAACTAATTAAAATTTTGAATCCAGTGACAGCCCTAAAAACCTGAATGATTAAAAGAGCTGAGCAAGTAAAACAAGATCCACAGTCAGGGACAGCCTAACATCACACACAGTGTCTCTCGAGCTTTACCGACCTGCTTTCGTTGCTGGATGGGGAGGCGCTGGAGGTGCAGGACGTGTGCGAGTTGGACATGCGGGACACAAACTTCTGGATGGTGCTGCGTGAGGGAGCTTTGATGCGCGAGCTGCGCCGATTGTGGTACTTCTGAAACAAGCTCTCCACCTGAATGAAATGAAAGCATGAGTGATCTCTGAGCGTGAGGAAAGGCCCAGTGCCCTGGCTGGATCACGGTCACCTCACCTCGAAGTTCTTGAGGGTCTTGCGCCACAGCAGGGGGTCTGACGGCTCCAGCTGGAAGACCCGGAGCATCACGAAGAGCACGTGGATGCAGAACGTCCCACGCCCACAGCTACAGGTCTACGCACACAACACAAGGGAAATCATATGAGGAATAACTCAATATTAATGTAAGCGACAATTATGTTAAGGTATATATACTATATTAGGCAGTGAGGAAACAGAACCATTTTTTAAAAATCTTTAGGCTACCAATTTTCATAAATACCAGGGCTTCCCCAGACTAAAGATTTTTCTAGTTGACAAGTAGCCGTTCATGTTTATATTAATTGAATTGCTTAAATACTGGGGTGGAATATTTGGCCTATTACGCGCCTAAACTCACACATAAAGCTTGCCGCAACGCATCGGCGAAAGTAATGATTATAAACGTGTTGGAAAAAATAGCAAGGAGACATTTTAATAGTTTATTAATAAACTAGTGTTTTCTGAGTCAGTGTCGCTGCAAAGATGAAGTTGCCGATGCTGACTCTCATCTCCGCCGTAAAGTGGACACACCTTTAGAGAGAAATGCACCTTTCATGCGGATTACATAAGCAAAGAGTATTTGTAGACATTTCAAGCTTTCTATAGATGCATTTCTCCTGTCTGTGAGGAAGTGGACACTGAGTTTCGCTTCATTTTTGTGATGCACTGCAGTTCACGGAGACCGAGACGCCAGAAAGCGCATCCTGTTTATTTTCCTTATTGTGCAAAAGCACAACGTTTTCTTGTTATTGTGAGTTTACACAAATAAAAGTAGTACATTTTGAATGATGTATTACTCTTATCTGTATGACCGGAATGAGTATTTTAAGTTGTTTCCGCTGCTATCAGGAAAGAATGCAAGTGATCGCGGCGGCGCCTCTGTCGTGCAGTAAAGCACACCATACTTCAGCTCGGCACACACACACTCGATGTGCTCCTAATAATAGCGCACATTTATCTAGGATAATGATAGAGTTATGTAAAGTTGCTACTACTTTCATGTTTAAATGATAAGCCATATTTGTGGTTGATGGATGATAGGCAAACGTTTGGATTTACTGCCCGACACACTGTAATTACCACAAGAACCCGCCGTTAACGATCTGTCCGTCACAGACTGCGTCACTTCGCCAACTCCTGTTTTTTCTGCGACTAACCGACTAATACGACACTAAAATATGCATTTGTCTCAGGGAACTAATTTCCTACTAGCTGTTCTAGTTCCATGCCTAGTTTCTTCTCACATAATGCAATCATTTTAACTTATCAATATCATAGTTATTGATAAGGCAATTGATGTGTCAGGGGCCGGATAACCTTTAAGGGTTTTTCTTTGACTAGTGCATTGTTCAGGACTTCTACACGTTGGATATAGGGACATAGCATACCTGTGGACCAATGAACACCCGGAATTTGTTGTCAGGACTGTCGCCGCCAATCAAGAATGAGTTGGGTCCTATTTGCTGCAGCAGATAGAGGCGGGCTCTCATGACCTTGTTGACCCTGCGGTTGGTCTCCTCGGGACTATATGGGGAAAAGCCATCAGGGGAGGGAGCTCTGCGGGGGGGCGTCACCCTGCCACTCTGTAAACACACAATCAGATCACATTTTTAAGACCACCTAAATGGATATTATCACAAACTCCCAGAAATGAATTTAAATTGAATCCATAAAAATCTCATTATCATTATTATTATTTATTTATTTATTTCTAACGTCATGTCAGCAACAAGGCAATCTTCATGACAAGAACAAAGTGAATAAAAGATACAATTAACAAAAAGATTAATACGAGACAAAGATTATAAAATACGTTCAGGTGATACTTTTGTAAATGCATCCGTTAAACATCTCTCTGAATAAAAACAGTGTCTATTTACATTAAAAAAAAAAACAGCACAGTCCAGTAACATATGTTTAACTGTCATTGGAGTTTGACAAGGAAGCCATGATGGAGTTTCTTCACCTTTTAGTAAATAATCATGTGTGAATTTCTAATTACCTAAATGGCACCAAGTAAAAATAACTTGATCATACCTAGATTTGAAATTACTAAGGAAAGCCTTATACTAGGATTTATTTCATGGAACCTATTTCTGTGGCATCCGTCCCATCTCATCTGCCACTTATGAATATAAGAGTCACTGGTCTAAGGTCAAAGAGTGAAATCTGACACTCTGAAATACTGAAAGTTTCACGCATCATCAATGCATTGCTGTTACATTTCACCGGTTGATGGAAAGAAGCGTTCTAAGAACACATCCTAAAAACACATCCTAAAAACACATCCTAAAAACACATCCTAAAAACACATCCTAAAAACACATCCTAAAAATCTAAACAATTTGTATCCAGAATTCTTCACTGTATTTCTAAGTGCTCACACTAATACAGTGCATGTTCATCACCGGCACATTTCTATCCATGATGACTTTTTGTGTGAACCAGACTTGCAGAAACCCAAAACACGCATCTATACAACAACAAAATTCATGCAAGGAGAAGACAATAGAAATGTGCCAAACTCACAGGCACTGGGGAGCCTCTCCGTCTGCGCAGCCCAGGAGAATCGGGCTTCCCAGCAGTCCTTGTGGAGGAGGAGGAGGAGGACGAGGAGGGTCCAGGAGAAGGGCTGCGATGGCCTCTGCTGTGAGAGGAGTTCGAGCTGTGCCCGTCGCTGCCCGCCTCAGTGCCGTCGGCCCGCAGAGGGATGGGCTTCACTACCTGACACACACCACACAAACACATCAGACACTGCTGCCATCACACTTCATTTGAGCTCTGATTTTGTCTAGTGGGGATGAGGCATACTGGCCAATATGTGGACATTGAGATTATGCTTTGTATTACTAAAATTGTTATTTCCAGTGAGAAAGCATTAGTTAAGGGTACGTTTACACGACACCGATGAACTAAAAATGGAAACTGTTTTCCTTTGCGTTTCTCGCGTATAGACGACAACGTTTTCAAAACGATCTCCGGTCACTTTGTAAAGAAACACTATGCGTCTATAGACTGAACATGTAAAACACATGCTCATGATGTTTTCACAAATTTATGGCTTCATAGTTTACATGGAAACGATAACGGTATCGTTTTCAAAAACTTGCACTTTGAAACCAGTTTTCAAAAGTTTGCGTTTTCAGGCCCCCAGATGCGTAAATGAACAGCTAAAACGGACAAAGTTTTCAGCTTTTAGTTGAAAACTGTGTTATAAACGTCCCCTGAGTGTCCAGCCCCAGTGAAACAGCAGTTCGAGCACACAGTGTGCAGTTCCTCACCCGGGTCGGCTGTAAAAAAGCTTATGTAAGGAGGGCCTGCTGCTCTCAGAGGAGACCTTCAAAACTCCTCATTTCCCGTTCATTACTCCAACCGGTGCTCGGCTGCTTCTGGTAACAGCGCATCTGACCCAACCATTTAACCATTAACAGTAGTTAACTAGAGGATTAATCCAGGGATTTAATTGTTAACTGTAGTAATGTAGAAAATCAGTAATGTACTGAAGAATCAGTAATGATGCCATATGAATAAACCGGAAGACAATGGTGACGATGTGTTCTGACTAGAAATTTATATTTATATCTCAATTAGTCTGTTTACTTTACACCATTTAACAAAAATAGAAATAATCTTCATAATTCAGAGCATTATAAAATTAACTTCAACCTAAAACAAAAAATTAAAACTAGAATATTAAGAAAAGTTATGAAAGACATCGTTAAAATAGTCCAAGTGACTACAGTGGCTCAATCTTAAGTTTATCAAGCGACGAGAATACTTTTTGTGCGCAAAAACAAACAAAAATAACGACTTTATTTCAACTATTCTTTTCCTTCTCTATGGGCCTCGAGTCAGTTAACGTAGTGTGATTCCGTAGAGCTACGTCACACGTAGGCTCACTATTGGCCGACGCTGGTCATGTGTGTGATGCGTGTGACGTACAACAACAGAAGCTTACGCTATTACACTAGTGAACTGACTCGAGTGAGCTAAACTGTATGAATGGCGTTCCTGGTTTGATTAGTCGAGACTGTTTTCCAAAGATGGCTCCTGTCTGTATACATGAAGTGGACTGTCTTTATCTTTATCTTCTTATCTTATGGTTGTAAGCAAGCCCTGTGTAATAGCCAGGTTACGGGACATGTTCCTGGATGCAGCGCCACACGTGTGTGCCCTGTTGTGGACGTGATGTGACGTGAAGCGCGTGAGCCTGGTGTGGTGTGGCCTCACCATCGGGCCTCTCCGGCTGCGCCGCTCCAGCCACTCGCTCTTCCAGGTGGGCATGCAGGTGGCCTTCAGCTTCTCCCGGATCAGCCGCTCCTCCGGCCGGTCCTCCATCTTCTGCAGCCCGCGCAGGGTCTCCTTGCTCTCCATGTCCCGGCTGCAGGGACACAACACACCATCAGCGGTCTGAGGGTCAATCAGATTCAGCACATCATCCCTTTCCCACAGTTTCCAACAGAGATCTCCCAGCAAGCAGCGCAGAGACACTAGCGTCGACCAATAGGGACTCACTTATGGCCAATGCCGATGCTGTAGAGAGCAAGGCGGCCGATGGCCAATATAAAGACCATAAATGCGATATCACACTATATATTTAGTTATTTAAAAATTAAATAACACATGCAATTAAATGTATATTTATTTGACATAAATATATACTAAATTAGAAAAACGATTTGAAAATAAATAGAAAGTGGCAAATTGCTCCGCTCACTTTTACAGTTTATATTGCATAACTGTTGAATAAAAGACCGTAAACTAATAAAGCTCCTATGAAGCGCCGGCTGTCAAAGGACTTTCAAGACTCATCAGCTGATGCCATAAATGAACATGCTAAATATCGGCATAGAAAATGCATCTTGAATGCAGTCCTAACAAAGCTCTCACAGAATTTGCACACTGTACAATCACATAGCAAGAGAAATATTCACACACAAAATTGTTGTTTGTTTGCAGCCAAAGTTGAATGTGATGAGACGTAAAGACTGGATACAACAAAATGAAAAAAGGCAATAAGCCAAGAACACACTGGCTTCACTGGCTGACTGCAGCAGTGCATGCGTTCATTTAGCACACGCTTTTATCCCAAGCGACTTGCAAATGAGGAACAACACATGACATGTATCATATGCAGTCCTACATGCAAGGCACGAATAAATGACGAAACACAATAACCGCTGTCATGTTCTCTTGCGTTCGGATGCTGGTGTTCGGAAACGCAATCGTGTGAGACGCTTCTGGAGGGAATTACACCAAATCATTCTGATCTGATGACCAATGTTGGTTTGCTCTTTCTGAAACGCCTGAGTCAAAGCCTGAGATGCTGTGATGTGATTGGTTCACCACGACAATCATTCTCCTTGATACAAAATCATGCCACGATACAGATATGGTTTAATTTGATTTAAGAGGGCCTTCGTTTGATACCAATATTACGATATTATTTGCTTATTTTGACTAATGCATCCAAAACGTAACATTTACTTGAACTCTCTGCAATCATGTGTCCCAATTGGAACATCCAAAAAAATGCACTTTAGTTTTTTAAATATTATACAAAAATACAGAGCGTTCAACGGGCATTGCATGCATGAAAGTGTCAAAATAAATGTGCATCTTAAACATAATTTTGACACGTTGCATCGATACATTATATCATTAATCAATTGCCCGATGACTTGATCCATATGCATGTATTGATTGCTAAATGATAAACGATTGCATGTGTGTGTGTAACAAGATGAGGTTCAACATAAATATGCAGAACAGAGTTTTTGCAAAAAATGGTTCAAAGAGAAATATTTTTGTATAGTGCATGGAGGAAATCATCTCTTGCCATCTTACCCGTAATGGATCAATTTACACAAGATGAAAATAACAACTGAGGGTCCGATTAAACATCATTAAAGTGAATGTTGGAAAAGCCCCTGAACCGCCCGTCAGAGAGAGAGAGAGCGAGCGAGCGACAGTCAGTCTGCGCACTCGTCTGGAGCTGTGTGCTGTCCACATGTGGAGGAGTAATGAGCAGGATCACGGGGGTCCCTTCGCCTCTTTCAGGATGCTCTATAAGAAGCGGCGAGCGCTGCAAAACAACAACAACAGCAGCCCGGGACAGGAAAGCCAGACTTCCTGTCACATCACACGAGGAAGTGCGCTGACGTCAAACTGCTACTCTTTTGCAGAAGCGTATCTGCTGACCAACTGATGGCTAAAGCTCGAGCAAAAGCTGGAGTGATGATACAAATCACTGACATTAACCTTGAAACAATGTTCTTCAATCACGGCTCTAACATTGCAGAAAAACTGCTAATGTTACTTTCTATAGTAGTACACTCTGAATACTGACAGTCAGAATAAAATACTGCTTATATTGTGTCTATAATGAAAATGGAAATAGGGACTGCTTGTGCTTTCACTGGACTGGTCAGCTGGTCAATTAACGGTGGTTAATAATGGAGGATGGGCACGGGACGGGTATACGAAAGTGACACTAATGATCGACCATGAAAACCAAACGAGGGGCCAAACTTTCTGTGATTCTTATGGTTTGATTCATTAGACAGCGGCCCAAACACACAAGGTGACTTCCAGTTCAATGCAACACTTTTTAAACGTCTTTTCCCCTTTCAAACTGCAGCTGAAATGTAAAAGAGCACAGAATCTCGACATCTGAACGCACCCGTTTTAACTTGACATGCTGTATTAAAAACATGGCCAGCCGTGGCTTCAAAACAGCGTGTCAGACGATAATAGCGACGTAAAAGATAATTATGGTCATCTGCAGAAAGCCATAGAGACATGTTAATATGTACATTTAAAGAATAACTATTAACCCCTCTCACCAGCACTCAAATAAAAGTTTAAATCTATCCATCAGTCACAACTATAATCTCTCAGCACAGGTTTCCTGATGATAATAGTGTGCTGGACTAGCTGTCTGTCACATGATGCAATGGGGGAGTCAATCGTGGTGTGTATGTAATTAACGAAGACTTTGAATCGATTACATTTGAGTAACTACACACACAGGCTTCTGGGATTAAATTATACTTAACATTAAAAATTTGTCAAAAATACTGACACTGAACACCCAAATTAAAGGTGCAGTATGTTATTTCTCAAAGTTGTTGCTGAACATTGTTGATATTGGAGATCAACCGACACAAACACACCCTTCCCTTCATAGCTCCGCCTCCAAAGCTCAAACCCAGTGTGACTCGCGTGTGGAGCGAAGCAAAGCAGCCTCTGTCATCAGGCCTTCCCGCTGAGCTATCTCCAGCGCTGGACAGCTTTTCTAATATAAACACGGGTCCGACTCCTAAAGCTCTTTCCTGATCATGACCCTTCATTTCATATTCCTCTGAGCTTTTCTCTTTTGTAATGTCTCTCAGCCATCTCTCTTTCTACAGTCTTTCTTCAGATCTCCCTCCGGCTCGTTCTCTCTCCTCCACCATCATACGGCCCTAAAGCTGATTGGCTACACACGTTTGTTGTTGTGTCGGTCCGACCAACTTTCAAATAGCTTTTTTCAAATATCGCTTACCCCACCTTTAATATAAAATTAACAAAGGCAGTAGATTGTAAATAACAAAGGCCAGGATTACCAGTACATCAGTAGCTCTTTATTTTACAGTCCTGTTCCCCATGTATATAGTACTATGTAGGCCTATTTACTGTAGTAATGACAATAACTGGGTAACAACTAGGTACTGACCCTGAACCTACCCCTAAACCTCAACTTACCCACAAATGTACTGAGTAGTGTAAGGTAACTACATGGGTTAAGTACACTGGAAGTGCACAATACATATACATACTGTAAAATAAAGTGCAACCAGTATCTATTAAACATTATATTTGAAAGCCATCATTAACATTTTAGAAGTCATTTATTAACAACAATTACAGGCCATAATGAACCATAACTTTTAATTTAAATAAACACCAACACATAGTAATGCCTACAGAAATTAAATGTCACATTTAGTTTTGGATTATTTAGCTTCATCAGTGATATTTGCTAGAGTTAAACAGCAAATATTAAATTACAGAAATTAATACCCTTTTTAAAAATAAATTTTACCTAATCCCAGCCCTACATTTATTAAAACATTATTAATAATAAAATTACATATTATAATAAATATCATTAAATTGTATTAAATATTATCAAAAGGCCTAAATATTGGTATCGCTAGTTTGGTATCGCCGTTTTTATAATACCATTATTATTTCCCTTGCTTATTTTAGATGTTTATTTGAATAATTAATGCTGTTGTTATTAAATACATAAAAAACTTCAAGCCTCATGCACTTCATTTGTATCCTTGTTCTAACGGGTTTATTATATATTGCAATGCGTTTCTTTGTTCTTTATTACTACTTTATGATTACTTGCATTGCATGCCATATTTGTAATTTCAATGGTTAATATTTACATGAACATTTATCCTTTAAAATAAGTATTGTGTTCATTAGCATGTGGTAACATCACTGCAGAAACCAGTGATTGAGAATAAACTTAATTTCGCCTTCATAAACCGTAAGAAATTGATCTTGTTGCTCAAGAAAGTTCTGATAAACATTACATTAATCTGCAGACGGTTTCAAGTTTTCTATTGTTTATTTACTGACTGAAACGCTACTTCTCGCACTCAATGTTCTGTGCGAGAACCGTGCGACTTTAACGCGACCGCAAACGGCCACACGAAGCGTGCGAGTGCACAACAGACTCCCACACTGGGAAAGCAGCTCTCACGAGCCTGAGCCACAGCGAAACCGGAGAGCAGGAATGCAGCATCTTTACTCTGAATGGGAAAGTCGGTGGTGGCCAACCCCTGCCTCTCAGATAACAGCTATCCCACAGTGCCATGGGGCAGGAACAAAGAGGCATTGTGGGCCGCGCAGGTGGGCTGTGGAGGAGCCAGCGCTGGGAATGCATCTCGGGCTCCACGTAAGCCTAGACTGCAGGCCTGTAGCGGTGCACACCCTTTCTCACGGGCCGCCCGCTCTCAGCGCTCCGGTTACGCCAGCACAATGTGTGCGCCGGAGGGGCCGAGCGCTCGGACCGCAGTCAGGACTCAGAACAGCCACTGAACCAACCAGAGCTGACTAAACCAGCAAACAACAAGCCATAAACGAACCCTATCAAACAGACAAACCAAAAAATACTGATAAACAGGGACGGCGTATCGTGAAACGCTCACAGCTTTACCCAGCAGCAATCATAAAGCAAAGCCTTCGATTAGCCTGTCTGGACATGGATTAGCTGGTTCAGGGGTGTTTGATGAGGTGAACTCCACAGGTCTGGAGATGCACATCCGTGTTCTTCTTAAGCAATATACCTACTTTTTTTAACCCTTGTGATGTGTTGAAAAA